ACCGAGATGGATACCAATAGCAATTTTCGCAAGTCAATTTTGTTCAGTATTGAATTTCCCTTTTGGTTAAATAGGTTTGTTAGTAAACAAAAATGTCGCATCGTAAGCACGAAAGCGAACTCTTCCTCAAATTTGAGGTATAGTTTCATTTGATAGTATTTTTTTATAGGATTTTTTTCCAACAAATCGAGGGATCTACAGTTTATTAAAAACTGCCCGATGGTTTTTTATAAGAAATTTTTATTTCATGTCAAAAAGACACTGCAACATTGAACTTAACATTCCCTGTCGAGGCGCGACGGCAATAAGAAAAATACATTTTTATATAATTTTGAATTTTTTGTCGGAACAGAACACTAAATCTGGCCTTTCGAACTTTAGTACGCAAATCTAAACTTTCGGCTGTTGCGAGTGCAGAATTGTAGGATTTAGAGTGAGGATATTCAAAAAGCCTTTGTTGATTCGCTGTCAGATCCTCAGAAAGTTACGGTTTGGTGTGCCGTATAGACAGCGGGAATCATTGATCTATATTTCTTCAAAAATTAAGTCAATGGAAAACGCGAGGCAAAACGAAGAGGCATGAACTGTATGATGTTAATATAGATGAGCTTTGTTTCCAAAAAGACGGCCACACGTCGTGGGCCTGTAGTGTGGCCTCCAAAATCGTGGGATTTAACACTTTTTTGAGGAGTTACGTGAAGTCGCTTCTCTACGCAGATAAGCTCGCGACGATTGACGCCTGGAGAAGAATATGCGGCGCGTTATTGGTGACATACGACGTCAGTTGCTATGAAAAGTGGTCGAAATATGGACGGTCACTTGTCCAAAGTAATTTTTAAAACATAATCGCAATTCCTTATCTTCATAATAAAGCTAAATTCTTGGCCCCAACATTATATTATATGCGTTTTATTTCAGCTTGGAAACCACATCCCTTAAAAATACACATTTCACATGCATACCTTTGATATAAAAAAAAAAATAATATTAAAAAATGGAATTAAAATAGTCGTACATTCAACTTTTATAAATAAATTTAATTAATCTTAAATACAGAAAAAATAAAAATAAAAAATAAATAGTTTAAATCGACCAAAATTCAATAGCAGCTGCCGAAAACGCGGTAAATCGTAAAACTCAATGAATACGTGATGCGTTATACATATGCACGTATGTACGGTACATATACAAATACATACATGCATAAGTTTATCTGAATTTTAGCATAAGCTTTAGTTAATATTGTTCATCACTTAAAGTATGCATTAATATCAAATATCGAATATCTATCTCTGCTGCTTCCGAAGGCAGATCGAAATGAAATGAAGACAAAAAAGAAAGACATGAACTCAAACCAGTTCGCTTAATAAGTCATGGTTCGACGGATTTTGTATTTATATAAGAAATTCTTTAACGGCAATTCATTCAAACACTTTTTTGTAGTTCTCTTTTTTCATTTTTTTTTTCAGTCTTTTGTCACCAAAAGACACGCATAAGTTGCATAGGTAAATAATAAATATTTATAAGTGCATCTAAGTAAATATATGCAGAATTATAGGCAGTCATACATACATTTCCATATATGCAGTTGAAAAAATAAACATAAATTGAGAATTGCATATATTTAGATTTTATTATTTACTGATTTACATCTAGCATAAATATTTGTTAATTGTAGACCTGATTTCTTACGTACATACATATATACATATGTATATGATGCAGTTTTAGCCATGAAAATATTTGAATAAAATCTTCAGAGTTTAAAGATAAAGGTACTTTGACCCTATTAGAAGTGCAGTAAATTGTATTTTTACAAGTTTTAGTATTGAATTAACTAATTTTATTATTAAATTTTAGATAAATAAACTAGTTTGAATAGAAGTCGAAGACCTTCTCAAAAAAAATTATACTGTGCATAATTAGGTTATATGGGTTTAGGTTAAATTGAGTTCATTGTAAACTGCATTCACGCCCGGCGCTGCGTTCTTCCGCCGTAAAAGTCAAAGTCAAGTCAAAGACCTAAACATAACCATAAACAAAAAAACATGATAATCTTACACACCTTGTGCAGGAAAAATGTTTATATACAAGGTGAAATTATTACTTAAATTTTTTTAAATAGTTTAGAAAATTATAAATATATTAAATTTTTGTGTTGTGAATTTTACATGAGTTAACGAGGAAAAACTTTATGGAACGAATTTCCAACTGCGAAGAGTAACAAAATCGTTCCATTTTTGGAGCTTAGAGTGACTGATAATGAAAAGTGGATTACTTAGGGCAACGCCATGTGAAAACGATCGTGTTTGAAGGGTAGTGAACCGGCATAAACGGCCTCTCCGGACCTGTACCGTTAGCATTCGGATAGTCTGAAGAGCCCAGTTTTAGTCAACAGGAAGAGAATTGTACTAAATTTCAATCGAATTGAATCTCCTAACTCGTCCATTTCGTGCATTTGCTTTTCTGGTGGAATAAAGCCTTCATACAAAAACATTTTGAGGGTAATGTCATTATGCCTCTCTGTTGGAAATCCTTGTCCCTATTGGAAAAAATTGATACAAACAATTTTCACAGGCATTTCTTGAGGCCAATTCTTCAAAAGCCAAATCATGCACTTGCTGGCGTTGTCTTCATAAAATACATTTTCTCTCATATTGGCCTAAGCTGGGCGCTTTTTCCATCAAACGGCCCAAATGCTGATACTAAAGGTTCGTATTAAATTTTTGGCCGTAGCGGAACAGCTCAACAACTACTGATGATTCCTTGCCAATCCCACCAAGCATGCAACGAAACCCTCCTGACGGCTTTATGCCTTTCGACAACATCCGTTTTCGTTTGACGTTGCCTTAAGTAATCCACTATTCATCAAAGAGTCACCATCAGCTTCGGCAATGGGTTGATATGGTCGTTTTTTACCGCTAATTCATGTGTCGCCCATGAATCAAACTCCTTTGCGTATCCAACATTTTTCAAGTAGCTGCAAAATGATTCTTTAGTGCAATATTTAGCTGCTAGGCTATGGAAACAGTGCTCGATGGATGGTCAGGCTCGGACATTGTTTAGCCTTCCACACCATGGATCAACTTTTTACTCCATAATATCATCGTTCTAGAGCCATCTAGCATTATCCAATTGCCAGATACAGATCACTAAAGCCATTTGTTGCAGAAATAATGGATTGGGAAAGCCCTCCGAGTGTATTTCGGACTTGAAGAAAAGGCTATTCATAAAAATCCAACAAACGTTCAGAGGTGGGCCAGAATGAACCCGTTAAACTGTAATTCCCTCCCTGATCTCCAACGCGTGCCACAAATTCGAGGACCTACTTGGCGCATTTTACGTCGAGATCTGAAATTGAAAGCGTACAAAATACAGCTTGAGCGACATCGCTTGGCTCCATGGGCTCTTGAAAAGTTACAAGAAGATCCGACGTTTTCGAGCTAAATTTTTTTCAGCGATGAGGTTCACTTGTGGCTCAATTTGTGACAAAGTGCAACCTGTAGTAATTCAAAAGGCTGCTTTTTCATCCAGAAAAAAACAACCATTTAGTGTGGTTTGTGGGATCATCAGTGCATATTTCTACAAAAATGATGTCGGTGAAAACATAACCGTCAATGGCGACCGTTATTTCGCCATGATAACCGTCTTTTTGATGCATGAAATTGAATCCCTGATCTCAGCGACATTTGGTTTCAACAAGACGACGCCACTTCCCACACATCACATCAATAAATGGATTTAATGCGAGAATCGAGCAGATAGTTTCGCGTTTTGATCCCGTCGTTTGGCCACCAAGATCCTATGATATCACACCGTTAGACTTCTTTCTGTGGGTTTATGTGAAGTTTAAAGTCTATGCGAACAAACTTCTTTTCAATTCAGGCCTTGGAGCAAAGTATCACGCGTGTCATTCGACAGTTACCAGTCGAAATGCTTCAACGAGTCGTGGAAAGTTGGACTCAACGCACGGACCAACATTTGAAAAAGATAAACTTCAGAAAATAAATGCTCAATAATGTTCTTTTGGATGTTAATAAACATTCCCCTTTAAGTTTAATTTTTTTGTTTTTTTTTTTCTGTAAAAAAAAAATTTGGGAACGAAATGGAATACCGACGCAAATAAATACTAAGACATTGCAAAAAGATTAATAACAATAGAAAAACTTCAAACAAATTATTCAATTGGATTATGCACCTTATATTTGTTGCCAACTAACCGAAACTCACCACTTTTCTTTCCACGCGAACACGGAAATACCCATCTACCCGACACATATATATATACTATTTTTTTTTTTGCACTGCTAACCATAAAAAATGAATTAACTCAAAAAAAAATTATTAAACTCTTAAATTTTATAAATGTTTAATAATTTTGCAACCAAACTGACTGTGTTGAAGCATAAAAAAAAGCAAATGGCTTGAGCAAGCGTAAGACAATAAGACAATAATAGGATTTTTGATTATGCAATAAAAAATGTTTTAAAATTCCACTATTAAGCAAAATTTAAACCAGAAATCCGATATAAACGCGTAAAATTCAGACAAATTGATTTATAACGCACTCCAAATTAAAGCTTAGAAAATAAATTAAATTTCGTGGGTAAAAAATTAAATAAACAATTGTATGATAAAACAAATGGCATGCAAATAAATAGTGGTTTATATTTATATATATAGTAAAAGCATAGACTGGTATTGGCTGAAGACAATTGTATGTATGCATGTATACATATACATAAATACAAATGTATGAAAAGATTATAAATTTTTGCAATGAAATATAGCATACAGAACTTTTAATTTAAGTTATTAATTAATTAATGGATTTATTTTTTATTCAATTTTTATTTTATTTTTTTATTTTATTTTATTTTTTATTTTTATTTTTAATTTTTCATTTAATATTAGATTTAAATTTTTTCTTTAATTTTTTTTGTTGATTTTATTTTGTTTTTTATTTAATTTTTTATTTTATTAAATGCAAACAAACTCACCTCTTTTGTCGCGCTGTTGTGCTTGTGGCGACTGCGTCGCTGGCTGTGCTTGCTGTTGTTCTTTTGGCTGCTGCTGCTGCTGCTGTGCTGACGATTGTGATTCTTCACTATGCTTAGCGACGGCATTAATTAAGCTAGCACTCGGATGATTAACCACTTTCGTGGTGTTCTTGCTACTATATGGCGGATGGAATGTATTTATTCTACTGTGATTGCGATTGTGATTGCTGCTGTTAATGTTGTGATTACTGTCGCCGGAATTGATGATGATCATAGACATAAGTATGAATAAAACTGAAACGCGTGACATTTTTGCAAGTTAAGTATGTACGTTTTTTTTAATATTTTTACAAATATTGCACAGAAGAGTTCACGTTTATATATATAAATTTTTTAATACTAAGTTATTATTAATGACTTCTGTTATAAAATTTAAAATTTGTTTTTGTTTATAAATTGTTGTTGTTGTTGAATTTAAGAAAGTTTTGTTTTTTAATATTTTTAATTTTTTTTTTATTTTAATAATTTTATTATATACATATGTATAATTATAATTTTTCTAGCGTTTATGTTGACTCGAGTGTTTCATTTGTGTGACTGACCGTTTGACCGGCGTGCGTAGAATGCGCTTCAAACGCTGCGGCGGTAGACGAAACGAAAACCAAAACCAAAAAAAAAATTTAAAAAAATGTGTACTAAAAATGCTACGCCAGTTAATGTCACAGCTTAGCGCTGTTGTCAGCTGTTGTGCGCGTGATACCGTCTCACCACGCAAAGTTGCTTTGCAGTAACGCAACGCCGTTGAACACTGGACGCACGAAATTCAAAATTCAAATTAACCAACGCCAGCGCACCTCTCCAGCCGCGCACTCAGTCCGCTTTGGCGTTTATTAGTGTAAAAATTATTTAATTTTTTATTGTTGTATTGTGTAACTACGTAAAGTTTCTAACCGAAGCAACAATTAACAAATAGATGTATTGAAAATGCAAATCAATAACAAACGTACATAAAGAAGTATGCGGAAGGCCGAGACGAGCGCGTCTTACGACACAAATGCATAAATTAACAAGTTTTTCGGCGTTGAATGCGCATAAAATGCAACTGCAGGCAAGTTCATAGGCCTGAAAGCCTTACAAACGGTGTCTTTTACTATCACTTTGAAAGAAACAAACAAACAAATACACTGCAACTTGGCAGAAGCTGTGGTATCTCTTACATATACGAATGTGTGTATGTATGGAAAATATTGTGCCTGTTCCGGTACCAGTTTGTGGTTACAGTGCCTCATGGGCCTTTCTTCGCTGATATACCTTCACATACGCACACTCTCACTCTCACTTTCGACTATGACCCGCACTAGTACTGGTCCAACCGGCTTGTTGTATGTACGTACTCGTATATATTATATTTTATGCATTTAAATCAGCATCCAATCAAACGCTTTCTTTAAATTCCTCCACACTCAATTGACAATATTCAAATGTGTATAAAAATCCACAACAAAATTAATGAAAATTAATACTTAAAAAAAAGCACACAGTTGCGATGACAAAGGGCGTTAATGTTACCGCTGACGTTTAATCGTTGCAAACCGACCGCGCATGCGCTGCTGGCTTTCATTTAACGCTTTAATTTCCACCTGTCCCGTCTATATGTATGCATATATGATTTAGTCATTATTGTTATCCAATATTTAAATTAATTCAACGCACAAGCGTAGAAAGCATATTCATTGCTTCATATTTCATTGTCGGCATAGATGAGATTTCGTATATTAAATAACACTAACGAAGGGGATAAAAAGAAAGAAATTCATAAAAACAGACGCAGCAGCTTTTTTTTTATTGTTGATTTTTTATTATTTCTTAATTTTTTTTTATTTTTTTATTGGATATTTTTTCCGACTTTTTTGTTATTGTTTTAATATTTATTCGTTTGCCTGTGCTCAGCCGTTGCTAATTTAATTGACGAACGTATATCGTTTAAAGTTGAAACTCGTTGATTGTACTTCGTGCGCTGCACTGGATTAAGCCGAGTCCATGGGAAATTAATAATGCAAATGATTTAATTTAGCATCTCCACTTGATACCATTCAAAAGATGCTCAATGCCAATAATGCAGAAATTGATTATCAATTCAATTATTGTTGCTTTTATTTTGTGGTTTTTGACAGCAAGCGTTGCTGCAACACAACTGTATATATGTTTATATGTTTGTATTGTCAGCAGCCGTAAAAATTCCACACTCACTGCATGCAGCAAATGTCTTATCACTCGTTGTGGCACTCACACTCTTTTTGTGTAAAACAAAAGTAACAAAAAAATCGTTGAAAAAAAAAATTTATTTAAATACAAAAATCTCTTTAATCACGCTCTTTCGATTGAACTTCGCTCCATCCACACACTCACTCAGCTATACCGTTCAATCTCTCTGCTTACTCCTTTTCAACGCCTCACAATGTTGCTCCATACAAAAATCTTAACGCATTCGCTTGTTGGCAATCATGCTGGTAACATCTTAAATTACGCTTGCTGTTTGTCGTTTGTCGTTAAAGCTAAATCAAAATTTTATACCCGCTCGTTACTAGTTATACAGTACAACGCGCTGTCGCCTCTCTGCATGCTTGCTTAGTTATCATCGTACTAAATGTTGGCATTCACATTCGTAAAACAGCTAACTGTGCTGATCGCTCCGATTGGTGGAGAGTTTAATTTGCTCTTTTTTACTGAGCTGACTGACCGGCGCTTGATTTCGTTTCCGTGCAGTTGTGCTTGTGTGGGTTCTCTTAATTGCGCATGCTGTGCTATTTAGCTAGCCAAACAAGCTGCTTACTAAATCTGTTGATCTTATGTTATACATACATACATATGTACGAGTATTTTTTATTATATTCAACGAACCGCACGCAAAGTGACCATTTATGTTGCAGCAATTTGAGCTGATTTTTGCTGTTTTTGTACTCGCATTTTCAACCTGCGCTTTCAACCCACTTGTAAGATTATAAAAATTTCTTCTAAATTTATTGATTTCCTTTGTTTAATTAAATTTGGAAAATTAAAATAAAATATACATATATTTCTTTGTAAACAAAAGAGTTCGGAAAGGAACTTCAAAATTTTACTCCAGCTGCTTTTTTTTTTAATACAATTGGGAACCAGAATAAACGTCAGAATTATTTAGAGATTTTTAAAGAGGATTTGCGGCGCTACTTTTTACAACGCGCCATCCCACACTTCTGGAATAACGAGTAATTCTATTACGATCTCTGGGATGGAAGAAATGCGTCCAGCGCCATACTCCCCGGATATAGCACCTTGTGATTTTTTTTTAGTTCCAAAAATTAGAAAAAGAAATGTAAAACAAAAAGTCTGTAAAGCAACGAGAAGATAATTAATGTGGTTATTGCTGAACTTGATCAGCTAAAAAATCATGATTTTGTAGACAGTCTTCAGAACTGGATCTATGGGTATGGAAAGCAATGGCGATTATGTAGAGAAGATAGAAAAGGGCAAAGCTAACGACATCATTTTTTTTTTTTTTGGTTTCCTCTTTTCAGACTTTTGTTTTGAATTATTGATTTAAATCGACATAAGCGAATTGTATGAACTCGCCATGATTTTGACAATTATTACACTGAAAAAAAAAAACAAATTATACGGTAATTGTTCTCCTGCTCTCACCTTTTTGAATTCGACTTGGTTTGAACTGAGATGTAGAAATTTACATTACGTTTAAATTAAAAAAAAAATTTAAGAAATATTTTTCAATCATTTTGTTCCGTAATGTCTGTCGATCCATTTTCTAAGCTAATTTCCGATTAGCGCTCTATGGCTGCAAAGGCGACTTAAATTTCGTGTTTAAAGTCAAAAATTGTCTATGGATGGTTGGCACAGCACTAGTGTCGAGCACAGCGCACAAGAGATCAATTGAGACGTTGGTTGTGTGGCACTCAGTGACTTCTTGTTGAAGCCATACTTCGTACATGTCATTCCCTGCGCCACTTAGAAATAAATAATCTTAAAGCTGGGCTGACTGTAACGGCAGCTGCTTTCCGATTCGTACCAATGATACTCATCGAACCGTCACTCGTTCAATATGCGTTAACTATTCAATGGTTAAGTAATGATTTCTCTGAGCCTGAGCCCCCAAATGTGGCAGTTTTACTTGTTAACGGAGGGTTTTCCCAAAAAAAACTACTAATTGTCTGCCAAATAATCCTATTGAGTCGAGTGTAATCGCATTGGTTGATCATGAAGCTTCAGCTCTTGGATCAATTAGACTTTAGCAGTCTTCATGTCTTATGTAAAATTCTGCTCAATATCTGCGCGAAATCTTAAATACGAACTAGCTGTGTCGAGTTGAGCCATCGGGCTGTTCGAGCATACTGCATTAGCAGCAATATTTTCATCTGCACGCACTAGACGAGCACGTACGCGAACGGTTTGAACAGACCATGAACCCCGGTTTAGTGAGCTGGCTGCACAAATTGATCCAAAAACTGTCAGGAAGGCGACCGTAAACTTTGTACTGATTATTTGACGCATCGAGGAAGTGATTGAAGATGTCAGAGTACCGTAACTGAAGCAGCAAATAGTAGACGGCCAACCCTTCTTATGCTCCATTGTCCGTTCAAAACATTGATCTACGATATTATAGACTGTCTCTCAAAAAAAATCATTTCAACAAAGAATATCGCTTGATGCGAGCTTACTAAATCTCCCCATATGATTTTCATGTGAATTCTTCATTAAAATGGCATGGAATTGGCCCAACATTCTTGAAGTCCAAAAACAGGTTTTATTAGTATTTAATTGAAGTTTAAATATTTAAAAGCTTAAACTCTTTACTTATCGTATTGAAGCATCAAGGCAATTAAGCGCATCCATCTAAATTGGCATATGCTGCTATTTTAATAATTATAAAAAAAATAAATTAATTGCAAAGTAATTAATATTTCAATGAAAATATGCAAAAAAAATGAATAATATTAAATGTTAAAAAAAAACTTAATTATTCAATGGACAACGTCAATCGTGTTGTTAATACCATAATTTTCATATTTTTAATCAACAAGACTCCAACGTTGCTTAATTATATTTATTTATATGCATGACTCTGCATATTTGTGCCCTCTAGATGTTTCTGCTTACCCGAAGGTGGACTTGTGCTTCCATCCAGCTTCCAACGTGCGCATAATAAATTAGACCGGCCAACTGTAAAGCTTTTGCGAAGTAAATAAATTGCCTTCGTATGTTGGCTCTCGGTTGGTAGGTGAGCAAATGTTGAATTTACACTTGAGGATGAGACTTCTAATGTTAAATGGCAATTATTAGCACTCTTATTAGGCAGTAAGCAGAGCGCCGATGCCAACGCCAACGCCAATGGCAACAAGCACACTTAGCATAACAGCACAGCAACGCCAATGGCAACAAATCACTGTAGAACAGCAACAATGCACACTTAGTAGCGACGACGGCAGCAGCCGTGGGTAATTTCCGTCGATGAACGATCGTAATTTACACCACAAACGCGATCCGGTATTTTTCACGTTTTCAAGCAAAAGAAAAAAAAAACACAAAAAAAGAGAATAAAACAAACTCCGTTTGCATTGCATTGTGGAAGAATTGCAAAATATTTGCAAATTTGCTTAAGATTCGCTATTGTAGGCCATTTGTTATACAACCAGATGTACACGAAGATTACACGGCGGCATGCAGCTTGCAGCGCCACTGTCGGTCGGTGGGCCAACGCAAATATGTCGCAATGCCATCGCAGTGTTGTTGCTATGCCAACACAAGACTGCAATAACAGAAGCGATGGCAGCAGAATCGCAACATTACGCGGCATAACATCATAACAGTAGTCAATAACAGCATAGCCGGTTGAGCCGACCCGTCAAGTTGTTTGGGGTAATTGTGCGAGCGGACACTTTTCAATCTCGCTATGCCATTTATGTTTTTTATGCACGCAGTTCATGGATCGAAAAGAGCGTTGTTTTGTAATAGTTGTTGTTGTAGTTGTGATTGTTGGCATATGTTACAATTACCACAATTTAACAGCAAGCAACACTTGGAGTTGCAACAATGCGCGAATTTCTTACAACTTTTTATTGGTCTTAAACACTCAACAATACAAAACTACATAACTACTTGACTTCCTCATTCCACTTTCGTTTTCGTTTAAGCAAATTCAAATACTACTATCACATATAACCTTATGCCATGGAAAATTCCTTAACCTCAAACTTCATGAGAACTTGGTAATTTTTTTAAGTAATGCGGCCGCAATAGCCGAGTGGTTCGACAAATATCCAAAATTATAGAAATTTAATTTTTGTTATTGCTTTCCTCCCTCGGAAAGGAATGTCAAACCCTCCAAGTGTATTTCTGATATGAATTAAAATAAAATGCACTGACCATTCGGAGGAGGCTTAGAATAAGCTCTCCGCTCCTCCATTTATTGGAAAACATCAAGACGCCCGATACGTGGCGCTTTAATATAATTCAGCAATGGTTGTATCCAGAATCATATTATTTATTTATTAATTTGGAGTATTTTTCCACGGCGATCGCATTAGCCGAGAGAGAGAGAAATAAGGATCCTCATAAAAAACCATCAGCATTTCGGAGAAAGCTTAGAATTTACTGTAGGTCAAACTATTTGTTAGCAAAATATCAAGTCGCACACCGCAAATTGTAGGAAGAAAGAGCTCGTCTCATAATAGATTTATAAGTAGCAAGGCGCCAGATAAATGCAGATCGTTAGAAGATACCAGAAGCTTCAAATAAGCTCAGCATAGACTTTAGTCTAGACTTGTGAGAGATCAAGAGTATGCATTGGGTAAATGGTCGTCGGTCCTAGAGGTTGACTTCTAACTTAACATTTCCTCTCTTCCTACCAAATAGAAATTTTGCGGGAGTTTTAGGAACCTCGGATGAATAATCAGCTAAATGTTTGGTTGGAAGAAAACGCTCCAGGTTTCTAGTATTTGATACAGTACAAGGTGAGGGAAGCAAAAAAACAAGATCTGTGTTAAAGAAATCGAAGAAGTTGAAAAGTACTTGGTTTCAATTCTTCTTCTTCTTTACTGGCATAGACACCGCTTAAAGGACTACAGCTGAGTCAACAATAGTGCGCAGTTCCTGACTTCTTTTCGTTGATTGGCGTGCACTGCATCAAAAACAATCAAAACCGTAATGAGCTCTCAGCCATTCGGACCACATGATCTTGTCGTCGTAGCCGCTGTCTCCTGATTAGCGGAACGATGTCAATGTCACTGTTTATCTTATAAAGCACATCATTCCATCGGCTGCGGTATTCGCCTTTTCCAACTCGTAAAGAACCGTATTAGGATAATCTAGGAACGCATTTATCTACGGATCATTATCATTTTTGAGACGAATTATGTCGAAAAGAAAACCTTCAGACTGACCGTCGCCTTGTTTAAGAATATTCCATTTCATACGCTTCGTAATAGAGTCTTCCATAGTTGTCTGTTATTATCTTCAGACAAAACTTTGCTTTTGACGGGAAATCCCCAGCACTGTTAATCAGTATGTTCGTTAAATGGATCTCTGACAGAATACTACAATATTGGCAGTCCTAAAGATGTCTCGCCATCCTAGGAACCAATACGAACGTTTTGATTAGCATATCATGGGCGAGAGGAAGCTGGAGAATGTTTGGGAGAAAAGGATGTGGTACTTTCGCCTTTACATAGACCGTCATCTGAAACCTTCGATACCATTTACGCATAAATAGAATAAAAACCATTTAACTTGGAACTTTCTTAAAAGAATCAAGTCTCCGAAATATATAGGTACCTATATAAATTAACCGTAATTTTCCACTAATTTATTCTGCAAGAGTTCTGGCACTAAATAAAGCAAAGATCCCTTCTACTTATCTACTTACCCAAAGTAAGGACGTCATTTTTCCCTCTTTCTCTCTACTTCAATTATAGAAGGCAGCGACGTAAACTGAAGTTTTACCGCTTTTCCGGACCTCTGGACTTGTACATCTTATGGTTCCAAAACTCTTAATCTATTGGGAGCATGACCACGGTAGGCTCAAAGTATAACTATTCATTACAACTCTATCTTACAACTCCGCGACTGATCCGAAAACGTTCACCGCTTTGAAATGATTTCTAAAATAATGGACTCTGAGGGAACCCCTTATGCTTTGCTCATCACCAACACAAAATCAGGGCAAAAAGTTCATTTATGGAGGCAATTATTTATTTTGGTAAAGGTAGACAGTTACGGGTGTGCCGCCGTAAGGCCATACGATTTAACAGACACCCTTTCTTTAGCAACTTATATATTCCATTTTGTGTTGTTTTTTTTTGTTTTTATTTCATTTTTTATTAATTGTAAATATGATAAATTTTTCGATTTAAACAGAATGTTGAATATTCAATTTAAATACATTTTGATTTTAGCGCGAAATATTCATTAATTTTTTACTGTTATTTATTTCTTCTTCTTCTTTCCCTTTTTCCCTTTCTTTCCCTTTTTCTTACCACCACAGAGTGCAGCAAGCGCTTCGTCCAGCTCCTTATCGGTAATCTGTGTTTCAGTTGTCATTTTCTGTTTGGGCAACACAATCGGTTGTTTCGGTGTCTTCAACTCGATTTCAATTGTATTTCGTTTTTGACGATGTTGCTGTTTATTGCCCAGTTTCACCAGAAAAACATCGCTATCAGTGTCTTCGCAGGTTTTGTAACAAACCTAGAAGGAAAAGAAAAGTTTTTTTTTTTTTTTGAAAAAAAAAAAGGTTTGAGCCGAGTATCTGGAATATGGGCCAAAACGGTGAAAAATTCAAAACTCTTAGAAGTAAGCTTTGGCTATCGCTCAATTTTACTGTTTTGACAACCTCATCTCCACAAGAATCCCACATTGGAATGAGAATGGGGAAAATGTAAATTCTCCAGATCAGAGTGACATATCCAACTTCACGAATGCCTCTGAACTCGATGGAAGGGAGGAAATCCACTTACCAACGCTCTCAACCAATTTTAATTTGAGGCAACCAGACTTCTGCAACGTCATTCAAGCAGAACATATTGCAATCACTGAAGCCACAAGTTATTGCTGGTTGCCAAGCTGCCACCAAATCTCTTCAATGTAATTACACCACATCAGACGTGGGGCTTAAATGCAGAAACACTTAAAAAAAAAGCTCTCAGCGAGACAACCGTGATCTGGGTGCTTGTACATAGGGACATCACAGGTAACAGTTTGGCGGATGAGCTAGCTACGTACGTAGTGAGCGTACCCTTGTCTACGGCGAAACTCCGACTAAAGCTGGCTTTCACCAAAACAACCAATACCAGATGGCTCTTCGAAGAAACGTGACTAAAACAGCTTTGGCATGTGCTGAACGTTAAAAATATGAACGGATCTAGTCCGCCTAGACCAAGAGGCATACTAATTGGACTTTACGGTAAGAGAATGGTATAAATATTCAAGGATTTTTGTTGTAGCTGCAGGAACGAAGAAGAGGAAGAGTATTTCGCCACTGTCTCTGTCACTCTCCAGCCCTAAGCATCACACGAAATATGTAAATACCAAAAGAACATCACTTCTTTGACTGCCTGGAAGTAGCAACTGCAGATATTAGCAGTATTGTATCGTTCATAAGGCACACGAAATGGTTCGTACATTTGGGAGATGATAAATACTCCCCAGAGCCTCTCTGGGGATATTTTTCTTACTTTCACATCTGGTTTGGAACTTCAAATTGTACTCGTACTTTGAGTAACACAAAACTACATTCTCAGCTAGATGAATTCGGAAAAGGGATCTCACCTCTTATGCTCTTGCAGTGTGTAGTTCTACGCTAATGGGGATTAGCAAATTCCCATGAAACTTTGCGTGGTGTGATGCAGGGCGCACAAAGGCGAGTAGAAAGGTTGTCCAAATATGCTGCATTGGAGACATTAACTCACAAAAGACTCAATGCTCTTCGGAAAGAGATTCCATATGCCCGACTCGCGATTTATTTTGGACAAAAAAATAAGCTAGTCACAGAACTCGGAGGAAAAGATGGGAAAAGCATTTAGTCTTATCTGTACTTGCGACTGCAAAGATCTCGGGGTTAACACTCGAGGAGAAATCAACCAACTGCAAGCTCCTTAGAGTGCAGAGGACAGCAAGGTATTAAGAGGAGCCATGCAGACTCCACTTACTGAGACTGGAAACCACTGCCTTTCAGCATTATGGCGATGTATAGTGCAGATTAGGAACCAATGAGACGATCAACTTTTAAACGGATGGATCTAAAGCATACAAAAGGATCTGCTGAAGTATCTAGTCACACAGTAATGCTATTCAAGCGAACCTGGTTGTCATATATGAGGTTGTTAATTGTCTAAGTCTAAAGGAACTTTCGGTGAATCGTGTCTATATCTTTTCGGCAGCACTAAAAGCTCTGGCAAATGTATAAGAAAAATCAGAAACGGTGGGGGGGGGGGGGGGGTTTGGAAACGGGCTGCTTTCCACTCGTAAGCTCACTTTAAGAGAGTTAATCACAAGAAATGCTAACTCAGGACGGATGAGGCAGGTAGTGAAAGAAAGTTCAGAGAGCTCACCAGGCTAAAAGCAAAGGTAATATCAGCAATAGTGGTTTCAGTTACAAGCCATTTTCTATTAGGGAGACACCTACAGAGGCTGGACGCACTATGCTGGTGTCGTAAAAAAGTGTAGGGGCTTTGAACTTTAAATCACCTCCTATGAGAGCTAATGTCGAGAAGTCTCTCTAACATAACCCACCCGAACTTAGTTACGCTTAAATCAAAGAGAGACACCGCTCCTCTCTTACTCTACAACTACTATTAGGCGGTCACCTAGAAAGGCTGGGCGTATTATTAGATGACTTCTGCTGGAGTCGTAGAGAAGAGAAGGAGCCTGAAGCCTTAAAACATGAAGAAATAGTTTGAAGTCTTTACTTTAGGCGGCAAAATTAGAGACTTGAGCGAAGATTCTTCATTTCGTTTATGGTAAAAATATATTTACTAGTTCCATATATTGGTTTGATTAGTGTGTGGAGCTGTTAGGATCCACAGTGGTATGATGTCCAGCAGTCACTTCAACTTAACCCACCCGAACTTCGCGAAAAGAGTAGCCGTATCGAAAGCATCAAGGAGTTGACCGCTTCACTTTCAAAACATTTCACACAACTAGGGAAGCCAGGAACACAAATACCCAACCCTATGCCCTACGCTCAAAAGTGGGCTACGAAATCCTTCAACGAATGTATTTTGAACTTCTGAACTTAAACCTCTTGCGCTGCTAACCTTTGACAATTGGCTTACTAAAATCTATTTTGCAATACCATCAAAGGACTCATCACTCTTTTTATTCATTTCCAACGATAGAGATACGCTTACCGAATAAGAGTAACGGAATGAAAATGCGCGCACTCGACATACTAATTGCATCCTCCGATAAATGGAGCGCTTATGCAACATATGTATGGCATAAAAAGACCACATGCTCTCATGCATACAAACACAGGTATGCACATATGTACATACATGCATACCGACACATAGTGTGGATTTGTTTGAAAAATGTTTCTGAAAATTGTTTGAATGAAAGTGAATTGAATACTCTCGTACACGTAAGGAAAAACAAGAGTAGCGCAAAAACTAGAGCAAATCTACGCGCCTCACTCACTTCCAACCCATTTCTACCTGCCGGTCTGTATGTCGTACAATAAAATTCAATTGCATTGTGGAATGGCGGTATTTACGGCGTTGCATACGAGTACGGTGTGCATACGATGGCTGGAGCTTCGATTCGGCAGACTTGCTACAATTGCTCACTACGCCATGGAATTGTTAGCGATGTCATGCAAACGAAAGCAATCGAATGGAACTGAATCATAGTGAAGTGCATGAAATGAGTTGTAGTTAGCTTATTTGAGTTCGATCTTATTGAATAGCACATCCAAATGTTGAAGCAAGGTGACCCTGTAGAAAATATAGCTCCGACTGCTCGGTTGTTCAGGCAAGAAAATAATACGATTATAATGCGAATTCCTCAGCTTTCACCAGTGAGTAATGCATCGAATACTTTCAGAGCTTTCCTCATGATCTAGCCAGCCTAACCGTTCTCTTTAACTGAACTCTATATCAATGTCTTCATATACACGTATGTATCTCATACAGTTCATCGCTCCATCGTCTGTAGTTTTCGTCGTCTCACATATGCGAAGCATCATAAATCTTAGGCCAAACTTTGTTCTCCCAGCGCCGACTTATCGGATGTTACCAACTTCCTTGCTTCTTCTTCATATAGCAGAATTGGAATGCTGAGGGACTTGTCTTTGTTCGTAGAGTGAAGACTTTACTTTTCGATTTCGTCATTAACCAGCAGTAAGACGCTCTTGTAGAAGATTGTATTCATACATTCTCTTTATTTAGTTCTACAACTTTTATTATTTTCTTCAGCATTAGATTGAAGAAGGCGCACGAATGGCATTGTCTGAAAGCTCGTTTGGAACTAAACGCCTCTGAGAACTGCTTCACATTTCTTAAAAAGCTTCTAACTACAGAAAGAAAGGTAGTGAAAGGTGACTCCTTTCTACACTATGGGATAAATCAAATAGCAAGATGAATTGATTTGATTTGGTGCTCAAACAACACTTCAGTATGCCTCAGCTTTATCTAGATGAAGTCAGAGCTATTTGTTTTGTCCAGATACATGAAACAACTGAGCCAGTAAAGTGCAACTTAGTATATAAATCGATAAAAATGATGTTGTATGAAAAGCTTTTTTGCAGAACTAGTATAAAAGGATGATGAAAAAGGTCTCTTTCAGAACATTTCCAGTATTTAAAGAGTTGTGCCTTATCTAAGGTTTTTTACCCTTCCATTGTCGTACTGTTCTATCTATATGTAGGCTGGCTGTCAAGTCAGTACTTCCTTATGATGATGGAAGGCTGAAAGCGATATACGTAAGGATTAGACAGTCTCTGTCAGCTATTTAAATTACCCATGGCATATACATATTAGCCCCACCGAGCGTTCAGACAGTTCAAATCAACTTGGGCTCAGGACTTGTAAGCTCTCCGCAAAGGGACTAAGTAACTGTATGCTCGTAAGTCTAATAAATATCTTAAGTCATACTGCGCTTAGGAGACAATAAAACCAAATGGATCGGAAATTGCTAAGGGAGTGGACAACAAAATTTTTAGCACTGAGTTAGATCTCAGGCAACCCATACATTTTCCAAAATATTGCAGAATTTTCCAGGCTAGAAAACGATCAAACCTCTTAATGAAATACAAAAGGCGCTAAGAACTCTATACAATGAAATTTCCGAGAGAGCTGGCATATTGATCAGGGCATGCAGACCAAGATAATGTTCAAGGGCAGGGAAAGAAAACAGTAGATTTTTTTGCTCAGTTATTTCCAACCTGCTGGTATCACACCCCGAAAGTGTAGAGAGGAAAGTACAAGCGATATCTTGGCAAACCTCTACGGTATCTAAACTTCAAAGAGCTTCGCCCTTCAGAGAACTAGCAGGAATTTCAAAACAGAATATCAAGGCGGTTTTTAAGCAGTCAGGACACCAATCTACAGTAGTGAAAAACGGTCCTTAGGCCATCTACTGACTGCCAATTGAACTATTTAGTTTCAGAAGTCAACAGCTTTCTGCAAATTAAGAAAAGTTATTCTGCAGGGCGCTCGGTTGGCAACTGGCAATTTGTCAAAGAGTCTCCATTTCCAATTTTCCAAGGGAGCAGCGCCTTGAAAATAATCAAAACATATATTACGAGCAGCTTATGTTGTTGTTGTTGTAGCTGTTCACTAGCCAAGTAAGATCATGCTAAGTCATAGAGGACATCTAACGAGAGGTCCGGTAAACGAGCTGTCTCGATTAGGTCGGACCAGAGGGGTGGTTAGTCTCTTGGTAACATGGTAAATACCTTTTATAGTTCAATGTCAAAGCATCAGCATGCACTGAATTTCCTACAGGCCGCATTCAGCAACTACGTCGTCAGCATATCAGCAGCAGTAACAAGTGCCGATGCATGCATTCGCTACTGCTAACGACCGTATAAGGTCTTCACCACACACACAAAGCAGCTACTTACATAAGCCAAAAGCAGCAACGACATCCGCAAGCACAGATAAGTTACAAGAAAAAATGTAAATTATTGGCTGCAGTTTTTTCTTTACTCCCAATTTTCCAAAGCCAACCGCGCTGACGCAACGCGAGCACAATGCAAATGCGGTTGCTTAAAAGATCTTTATTGGCTGGTGTTTTCAAGCGAGCAGCAGCGACACATTCGCAAGAAGCAAGACGTTTAGATTCTTTCTACTTATCTCCCTCCAACTCACCTCGATGCCTTTCTTCCTTGTATCGGCATTTATGCCCTTCAAAGTGTCCTTAATTTCTTGCGGATCCACTTGTAGACAACAGTTTCGTACATCTTGTGGGTGCAATGGTGGTGCTATCGGACCACAATCGTCGGTACAACATGGTCCCTTACGTCGATAGAGTTCCAGCTTTTGCTCTGCATTGCAAATGGATTTTATTTTATTGAAAGGTACGCAATAATTATCCGGCTCACAAGTGTCATTCCCAGCATATTTGATGTTCGCACGAATTTTTGGCAATTTTGGTCCATTTATAATATGACCGTTAGTGCGTCGTTTTACATGATTTTTCGCGAAACTACTACGTTGTAAGATATCGTTAATTGTCTCGCAACGATTGTTGGCGTTGTTGTCCTGGAAGTGAGATAAAAAAAATAAGAGATAGAAATCAAGAAATAAAATGAATGAAAATTACAGTCTGAGAGGCTATGAACAGTGGGCCAGTCCATGAAGACATCTCTGTAGTTTCTAGAGTTCCGGTTAGACAAAGGGAGTGTAAAACCTTAATTGTCTCAATAAAGGTAAAAAGCGGTATTTCATAAGGCTTTATAACGAGCTGCACGTATTGTTGTGTGCCTGAGTTGGCATGAACTAGCTCTTGCCCTACCACAATTTCTCCACGGAAGAATTGGAAAAGACAGAGCTACTAGTAGGAAGCAATACTGTTATTGTTCTGTTGTAACCGAAAAAAATAATATTTGCGGAAGAAACAGCTTTTGGCAGTAAGAAACCCCCGTTCACTCCGGTACAAAGATGCTACTGTCGCGGAAACTATTGGATTTATGTGTCTCTTATGACAGGCAGATAAATTCTTATTCAAATAACTTATAAAGTGCAAAGGAGTTTGTAGGAGCACAAGACTTCTTCACTGATGGGACGAAGTTGATGGAAAAGTTGGCGGGGACACTTCAATCGATCAATCCTTTTTGATATTCAGGCGAATGTTGTTTTCCAGTGTTTTCTGTGAACACACGGCTTTGGGAACTGTATCTGTATCTTACTAGACTCGCGACTATTATTTTCCTGAGTTGACAGATAGCGAATTCCAAAATTGTAGAGGAATCCTCATCATAACTGTCCGTGCTATCGACTTACTTCAAAAATCATAATCATATGAGTGTCGGTCCCAGCAGAATCGCCGAAAGCTGCTGGTGAACATGCCTTTATGGGTACCATCAGCGAACGCTGGTCAAACACCTTCACGTGCGCCTTTGAAAAATCCTCCTGGACCAAGGTGAACCACGGAAGTACAGCAAGTTACTTGACATCATCGGTAGAGCTTTAGAATCGATTATATCAGTCTTCAGACTAACATATGTGAAGAGAAAAATGCCTTATTTGCAGGTTAAGGATGTGAGAGAGATTCTGCTAAAGCTTTCGTAGTCGGAGGATTCACAAGATGTGTATGGCTCGCTAGTATTATTATGGCTCTTCTATATATAAAAGAGTCTTTGAGCAGTAGGCTTAAAAGAACAAACAAAGTGTAGTGGAGGGCTTAGAATATCTTGTCATAGTTTGTCCAACAAGTTATGTGCTCTATCTTCATCTTCTTTTCTACTCACCGCATTCTTCCGCTCACAATCGCTTCCACTATCCAAATTATCTTGCATACCGTCGTCAACGCTCTCCACTTGATGTGTATTCTTAAGAACACGTATTACCAGACCACTGCCATTTAGGCAGGCCTCAAATTCTTCGTAGGCCTCTGGACCCGGTTCCGGTTTGGTGGGTGCAACGAAGCACGGCGGCATAATCTGAGGTGGACAACATTGTTGGCAAGAGTCAGATTCTTCTTCGGTGCTTTCTAGAATTTAGAAAAAGAAAAATAATTTTGAATTCCAAGCTCCGCAGTGGAAATGCAAATGCAAAGCGTAGGCTTAGAACATACCCTTTTTACAGTTTTAGGAAGGAAAAAATCTTTGTTTTTGTTTTAATTTAGAAATGTAAATTTTGCTATTTTTGTTTTTGTTTTTTTAATTTGGTCCAGCATATTTCTGCATTAAATAGCGCAATTTCCGTAATGCTCTAGCTTTGGCTACAATAAAAAAAAATTAGGAGAGATTCTTGGAAGCACGCAAAATGTTATTATTGAGGAATCGCACCCGTTTTGTTATTATTTTTATGAAAAGAAAGAAAACTCGGGTGTGCGGAGTGAGATCGTAAAATACCGTTGAAACATCGCTCTACCTTCAGAAGGACGAATACGAACGAGATAACTGAAGCAGCTTTAGAAAATATGGAAATATAAAAAAAAAATGTTCGAGGCAGCTAAAAATATATTCAACAAAAAGGGTACGATCCGCTCCTACTTCAGCCGTTTAAATCAACTCACCCGCTTCGCATTCATCCATGCATTCTTCACATGTGCAGCCCTTCGGCTCGTTGGAAAAGTATCTCTGGCACATGTCCGTACGGGGTAGTTCTTTCTTTTGACAAGGGTCTGGTTGTGGGCAACAAGGCGGCGGTGACGGCGTGCAACAGGGTGGTGGCGGTGGGCAGCAAGTACTTGGTGTTGATCTCTTTTTCTTCTTCTTGCAACCAGTTGGGCACTCTGTGGTTAGCAGATAATAAAATTTAGACACAAAATTTACCACATTATGCTCATGACACTCTTACCCCTATCACAATAGTCTTCACACTCATCGCAAGGACAACCTTTGTCGGCATTACAAGCGAAATACCGTTGACACACCGGTGGTTTCTTGTCCGGTTGTATGCAAGGATCCGGCATAGGACAAGGGCCTTGTTTCGCCTGTGACGGTGCAATTGCCGGACATGTGGAAGGACATGGTGTCGTCTTTTTACCACAGCCTGTTGAACAAATGCGTGAGAAGGGAAAACTGGATACAATTGTCGGTCCATTGCAGACAAGCCGCATAATCAGTACTAAATTTCCGGTTTGCATGTGTTTCATATTGAAAAGTGGCAGCAATCGTTTCGTCAACTCCGATGTAGGGCACATTTGTTCACGTCGTCCAAATGTCTCTTCATCGCAATCATTATCGACGACTGTCGTCTTCGATGGAGTTTTCGGATCTGGCATACGTGCTGTATGTTTAGCCAGTTGCTCCATCCAATTTGGATTTTCAATGTTGAAACTTTCTGTTACCTTATCGAAAAGTGGCTTGATGGGTATATCTGTGGCACCAACAAGGAATTTACATTTGTCGGTCTTTTTCTTATATATGTGTATTAGCAGACGATCCTTATCGGTTACGGGTGACTCCAATGAGAAGAGACAGCATTTGCCGCATTTCGGTGCGCAAGTGTCGACACATTGACCAAATTCGCGATCACATATCGAGACAAATACGCTTGAACGAAAAGAGATTTCACAGCACGTGGGGTACTCCTCTGGGGCGCAATGATTTGGCCGTGTTATCAACAGATCATCGACCACAAATTCGAACATGTACAGAAAATTTTGCGCCATTTTAAGAATTTAGTTATAAAGCAATTTTATAAAAATAGATTTAATTTTTATTGGTAAAATGTAAAAATTTTTCTGTTTGGATTGAAAAATCGAATTTCGTCATATCAAAAAAAAATTCGGAGTACAAAATCGAAGAATATTTGTATTTTTTCCAAACAAGTGGTTTAAAATATTACCAAAAATGTCGTTAAAAATATTTGGTCGCTTAAAGAAAAGATATTTTATATTTAAATATACATAGGTCTTTGACCGGAAGGAATATCTAAACTGCATAATCTAGCTTTTACTCTTCACTTTAAATACCAAAACGCATATTCATTCATGGGGATGAACACAGTGTTTTATTTATAATTTACTTTTTAAACTATTTTCTTAAAAAAATACATATACAACTTATAATCTATTTATGTATGTACATCTACATACAGTCTAATTAATGTAGATTAATTAACTATCCTGTACGCTTCATTTCTTGTATCTTCTTAAGCAACAGCTCCATACGATCTTTCATTAGCGGCTGTCCACGTTGTGTTTTTTTGCTAATCGCTTTTGTCTTTTCCAAACGTTTCTTTTTGTAATTGCGCACACGCTCCTCCTTTTCGCGTTGAACACGCTCCTTTTCCGCTTTGGCCTCCGCAATTTTCTGAACTCTTAATTCCTCACGCTCCTTCAGTTTTTGTTTTCGTGCCTATCATTTGAAAGTTATTTATATCCAGCACTCAATAGTATATTTCATCAATGACTTACTTCATCCTGCGGCTTTTTACGGCGCCACTGCGTTGCGTTGGGCAAATGGGATTTATTTGATTTATATTGCTGCTTTTCATGTTTAAAAGGTTTTCCCTGCACACCGGGTTTCCTTCTAATAGCTCTGTTATCTCCATCCTTACGTTTCGGTTTAACCATTTTGTAATAAATATATTGTTTATTTACAAAGGTATACAGAAAAACAATTTTAATATTAACACATGTGTAACTTTTTATTTTGTTTTGACACGCACCAGCTGTTTGCTGTTTCTGTGCCACAGAGTTGTATTAACTATCACAGGGTTGATTATACAATTATATGCGTTGTTTGAGTTCTGTACAAGAAATTTTTGGGGTTTTAAAAAGAACTATTTATTAATTAAATTTTTTAAAAGTACTGTACATTAAATGTGCTACATTCAAGTAATTTGTCATAAACAAAATTATATCCCGTTTAGTTAAATATCCTAAACAATTGTTTACTTCAAAAAAATATCGAAGCTTGGCAGCTCCAACATTACGATATTGATAAGAATTATCAACATATGTGAAAACTAACACATTTGTTAATAGCACTATTTTATTTATTTTACTGCCTAAATTTTCTTTCGGCATTTACTAAATAATTCCGTTTCAGCAGCTCATTCCATACTTGCTTTCTACCATAGACCATACCTCAAACACTATTCCTATATCGGCAATTTCAGCTGGAGCGTTTATTGTAAAATGAGTACTAATGAAAAATTGGAATATATTAAAAGTAAAATTGGCACATTCCCAGACTTTCCCAAAAAAGGCATCGTATTTCGGTAATTATTGTTATCAAAAATTTATAAGCACTCAATAAGCTTAAAATTAAATATATTTACTTTATTCATTAGTGACATTTTCACCGCGCTTAGAGATCCAACTGCCTGTAGATATTTGAAGGAAGTGCTGGTACAGGAAGTTAAACAAAGATATCCAAATGCTGAGATTATTGTTGGTTTGGAGTCACGTGGCTTCCTGTTTAATTTACTAATAGCTACTGAATTGGGCATTGGTTGCGCACCAGTACGCAAGAAGGGCAAGTTACCCGGTGACCTCATATCCGTTGAGTATGTGTTGGAATATGGAAAAGTAAGTATATTTTTATATACAAATTTAGTATGTATGTATATATAATTCTATATACATATTAACACGTGTCTTTAATTTTATTATAGGACATTTTCGAAATGCAAGCGAACGCGATTAAACCGGGTCAAAAGGTTATAATCGTTGATGATCTACTCGCCACTGGCGGTTCTCTCAAAGCGGCTATTGAGTTGGTACGCAAAGCGGGTGGTGATGTAATTGGAGGCATTGTCGTTATGGAATTGAAAGATTTACGTGGTCGTGATAAAATTGATTGTGATGTACATACATTAATCAAATACTAAAACACTGTGTTGTCAACGAAAATGCTCCGAATCGAAGAAAATAATTGGAATTTATTTAATTAACTAATAATATACATAAAGATATGTACATACAAACAAATTACTCAATACATCTTACAAAACAAGAACAAATTTTTCAACATCTTAAATAACTACCAATTACTATAGATTTCCCGGTGCTTTGCAAAAGTAAAAGATAAGAATTTTCTATATTTATACTTGCATTTACTAATGAATAGTTGTAAATATGGGTAGTGTTGGGTGTAATATATATTGTTATAATTAATTATTTGAAAAAGGAAGCAATAAAAATATACATGAAGCTATTTTTATATAAATCACAGCAAATGAGCAGCATTGAAGTTCTGTAGTTTTTTTTTTTTTTTTTTGTTTTCAATTTTTGTGCAAGTTAGTGGAATTAGCGCAGTTTAATGGTTTTCTTATATTTAAGAAGCAGCATTTCAAAATATTACGAATGTGCCATGCCTTTTTTAAAACCGAACTTCTATTGAGCCTAAAACTATGCTATGAATTATATTAATTCTTGCACTGGAATTTTATTTCGCTTATGGTGCCAACATATACTTATATACATACATACCGTTGGGTATAATATATTTATAAATGGAAGTCAGAGGCCCTTGGGTTTAAAAAAATGTGTTTAATTCTATGGGAACTTGACGCCGGAAGAAAAAACTAAACTCAACGTCCTACGCCGGTCAGGCCTATACATCGGATTGGACTAAACTCTTATGTCGCAACATTCTCCAAAGCATATTTGGGCAGTATTATTTTTTATTACTACAACAAAAAGAATGTAATCGACGATACTATCCTTGAAGGCTTACAGCGCACTGTAGAGTTCAACTTCCTCTGTGGTACGAACAAAGCAAAACCTTCGTTGGCGACTAAAGAATCTCTGCTTTACCAATGTTGTGATTTGAGTAACCAACTTCTGGCAGAAATTTTCTGAAGATCTTGTAATCGGGTAAATGTCATTGAGGAAATGCTTTTTTTGCCTCCTCAGTACTGAATTCAGAGAAGCACCCGAACTCGAAAGAACGAAGTGCTTTAACTGCTTTAAAGACTTTACTAGTTCATTCGTAAAATGTGACACTTGAGAATATTCTGGAGTGAGTAAATTTTTATCAAAATTAAGAAAGTCAAACTTAGTCTATATCGCCGAGGTGGTCTAAAGGGAGGCTCATGAATGCAGTTGTTTCGAACCAGAGGAAATACATAGCTGTTAGATGAGTAGGTTTCACTGAGCATGCAAGGCGAAAGAGGTGGTTTGTTGCAAGCAGGACAAGCGTTGGAGTAAATCAGCAGTTGATTCTACAAAAGCGTACCAGTTTTTTTGTAAAAGTTTTTAGTCACAAATCATACTTGTATGCGATGGTAGGAAGGTAGTCAAAACTAACTGATCCGCAATTAGAGAAAACACTTGTGATTTAAACATACCCAAACGGACTGAGACTGATAGGCTACGCCAAGGCCCGGTATATGAATGCCTATTCTGTAGTACTAGATTTCAGCAAAAGAATATTCATAAAGCTAATTGGCTGAGATCGTAAATGGGAATCCCAATTGATAATGATGGAAGAGAAGTTCCAACACAAGACTATGAAGAAGTTCAAAAAGCGATTTTCCACTTATAAAAATCAAAGTGAAGCTCCGCCCAAGTCACAAAAAGGTGGAACTCACAATTCGTTCAACTATGATGGGAAATGCCTCCGAAATATCCGACGACCCAAAACAAAGGTCAGCAAGTCCCTTGTCTTGTTATATACTGCTGTGTCGGCGTTATAAGTTTGCGAGAGCAAAGTTTTGCAGAAGATTTGTGATCTTTTGCATATTAGCAACGGCGAATATTTGAGATAAGGGACGACATTGGCTTAGATCAGGATATCAAGGGACGATGCAAATATCAGGAGTGAATGGCTTGATTTCACTTGATGTTTCCAATTAGGGCGCTATTATATAAATAATTGGCGCTTTATAACCGGTGAAACGGTTTTCAGGCGAGCTCTTCCTCCAATTGGCGGTGTTCGTCTCGATGTTTTTCCAACAAATTGGTGGACCTGCAGTTTATACTAAGCTTTTCGCCTCCGGCTCCAAACGGCTGATAGATTTTTATGAGGAGCTTTGATTTCGTGTCAGTTTTTAGATCTTGCGCGGACTAGTAGTCGAACCTGGCTTGCCGAACGGTAAAATATACTGCTAACCACTCGACTATAGCGGCCAAGAAGAAGATATAGGAAATGTACTTATATACATATATTTTATAAATTTGCTATTATCAGACTTTAATCCATTCGCTAAGCCGCTCCCATTGTGAAATACAAATTTCCATGCCTTTCGACCGCCAAATCACGTTGTCCAAGCATTGAATACATACAAACGTACATCCATTTGAATTCTGCTGCGGTTTTGCATTACATTAACTTGGATTTTTGCGACCTGAGATACTTTTGTTTACAAATAAAAACGGAAGCTTTGGCGTTTGTAAACAATTACGAATACAACAACACGGTTGGGAGCAAATACCGTTCGTATGCAATAAGGGGCGGAGTCGAGATACAAGAGGAGTCCAGAGAGAGAGAGAGAGAGAGTCATTCACGGCCAAAGAGCACACTGTGGGAGAGTGAAACAGTTTAGTGATAAGACGACGAGAAACTCGTTATCGAGTTATGCTATGATATCCTATGTTGGCATTACTCCCCTATCAACTAACAACAACGCCAACAAAATTTTAACTTGCCAAACTCTGCCCTGCGCGGTGTCGCCGCAATTTTAAGGGTAGCAGAGAAGCTTTTCTTTATTCGATGTTTTTGTTTACATTGAGTATTGCGACTACGCGACTTTATTATTGCCAACAACAACAATTCGCACATGTTTACAATTAAATTTATTAGAAATTAACAATGCCTCTTAAAAGTGTAAAATTTATTACATATATGAGAATTAAGATCATGTGAGGGCCTGGAAATTGTTCTTGGCGCACAAACAGTCAGAATGTATTGGCTTGGAATTTAATTATCAACAACTGTCAATCAGAGTTGCTGAAGTGGAGACAGGGCGCGAGAGCGGTATGTTGCCTGGGAGAGCGTATGCGCGTGCTGAGGCGAGATGCTAAGGGAGATCCACTAGCGTTGTGAAAGCCCCAGTTAAGTGTGGACTGCACAAATTTTTCCAATAGGCTCTGTGAGGCGCTATGAGGCAACCACACTGACACTGTCTGTGACGGCTTGAGGGTGTTGGGGCGCGCGCTCAGGAGCGCTGGTGGGCTTGTCGTTGCTATGTATGTATGAATGTATGTATGTATGTATGTATATAACTCTTATTACTTTTTTGTGAGATTTGCGCGCTTTTGTTATTGTTGCCATTTAGCTTGGCACGTCCGTTTGCTAATTGTTGTTGTTGTAGTTGTTTGTTGTTGTTATTAAATGCGGCGTTTGTTAGCTGGCCTGCATACATACATATTTGTACGTATGCCTGTACATTTGTATGTAATCGGTCTACATGCTCTTCTGGCGCAGTAGCTGTTGGCATTCGCTGGCTTTGCCAAAAGTACTCGCACTAATTTCGATTCAGTACACTTTCACACGAGCGCGAGCGTTTTGCCAAGAGTGCGGATAATAAAAATTTTGCAAATTTAATATATTCGAAATTCAAAATATATTTGTACATAGGTAGTAATAAAAAAAAAAAACAACAAAGTGAGAAAGGTGCGCAACAACAGCATAATTAAAGCCCAAAATGTAAGAAGTGCCATAAATTATTGGGAATTCAGCAAAAGTTTGCTCGAATGCTATAAATGTTTATATACATACATATATGAATATTAAAAAAAAAAATACACCAACAAAAATTAATTGAAAAAATATGTTATATTAAGCATAAGCAAATGATTCACTAAATATTTGTGGTTTGGCGCTGTTGAAATGATGAAAAAGAAAAGAATACGAGAATATTTTATTGATTGTGTTGCCATGATACATATCTATGCATCTATGTTTGTATGTGTGTTTATATGTGTGTGCATTATTTTTGACATTTATTAAAGTGGATAAAGATATTGGTTAAACAAGAAAGTGTGCCACTTTAAGCTTATATTTTGAAAAATAATTAATTGGCTTATTATATAAAAAAAAGAACAAAAACAAAATAAACCTCAAAATTGAATTGATATAATAATAAAAATATTTTAATTTAATTTAAAATTGAATTTTTTTTTTTTTTTTGAATTAACAAATTTCTTATTTATTTTTATCTGTGCATGTGCACATATACATCAAAATGTACTCTTGCAAATCGTCTGTGGAGCTTTAACTCAGATTTAATGGTTGCACCAAAATGCCCTTAAAGTACACGGTACCTCGAAAATATTATTTAAAGAAAAAAAATAAATTATTAAATACTCATAATGACGCTCTAAACAAATTTAATAACACATTAAAAAATGTTATATAAAATTTGGGGAAAAAATAAAACAAAAATTAATTTATGAAAAGTAAACTAAAGTAAATTTAAAATTAAAAAAATAATTGAAATGAAACACAATAAAAAAGAAAATAAAATACAATAAAAAAAAACATTTTATTTAGCTTTTAAAAAATTCAAAATTATAAAAAAAAAACTCATTAAAAACTTTTAAATTAAATTTAATTATAAATAATAAAATTAAATAAAAAGTAATGTCAAATGAATTAATACATATTGAAATAAATTGAAAAAGTTAAATAAAATGAAATTAAATATTATTATATAAATAATAAATAAAATAAAGCCAAGTGAAATCAAATAAAAAAATTAAGTGCAATATATTTAAATAAAACTAAATAAATTGGACTAGAATAAAATTGTTTTAAATAAAATAAAATAATATAAAGTAAAAAAATTTAATGAAATTAACTAATTAATTTAAAATAAAAATTAATATTAAATAAATAAAACTAAACTCTATTAAACTAAAAGAATTAAAATTAAAATAAGAATGAAATGAAACCAAATAAAAACATTAAAATAAAAGCAAGTAAAACAAAATAAAAATATATGTATAAATAAAGAAAAAGTTAAATTAAAAAAATAAAATAAAATTAAGTAAAATAGATTAAAACAAAATAAAACGAAATAATATATAATATAATAAAACAATATAAAAATAAAAAATTAAATTAAATTAAAATAAACTAAATAAAGTAATACTAAATAAATTAATAAAAAAAAATATTAAAATGACTTAAAAACTATTACTTTCAAATATTAAAATTTTTCTCATTTAACTAAATAACGATACATAAAAAATAAAAAACTAAAATCAAAAAATTAATAAAACAAAAAATAAAAAAATTAAATTAGAAAAAATAAAATAAAGTTATTTGAAATAAAATATAATTAATAAACCACTACTTAAATATTAATTTTAACTAAAAGAGGTATACAAAAATAAGAAACAACAACAAAATAAAATATAATAAATAATGTAAAAAATTTAGATAAAATAAAATAAAACTAAATAAAGCAAAACAAAATTAAAAAATATCAAAAACAAATAAATTTCATTTAACTAAATGTAGTATAAAACATTTAAAAATTTATGAATAAAAGAAAAAATAAAATTTAATTAAATTAAACAAAATGAAATAAATGAAATGAAAGAAGATAAAACTATTTTAAAATAATTAAAAAAATAAATAAATTAAACTAAATTGAACTGAAATAAATTAAATTAAATAAACTAAGTTAAAATAAAATTAAAATAATAATGAAATAAAATCAAATCAATTAAAACAAAATAAAGTCAAATTAAATTAAATTAAATAATACAGAGTAATATTAAATTAAATAAAAAAATGAATTAAAAGAAACTAATATAAAATAAATAAAAAATTTAATAATATATGATAGTGAATTAAAATAGAACAAAAGAAAAATATATAATAAAGCAGAAATTAAAATAAAAAAATAATAAATAAAATGTTCAATCAAATAACAGAAAGAAATAGAAAGAATTTAATTAAAATAACAAATGAAATCAAATAAAATCAGATAATGTAAAAATAAAACAAAATAAAATACAAAATATATGGTAAAATAAAAAACAAAAATATGAAAATCATTAATAAAAAAATAAAAGGAATAAAATTAAAAAAAAAAAATTAATTTATTTAAATAAAGTAATCTGTTATATGGGATTATTATAGTATAATATTAAAATAAAAAAGAAGAAGAAAAACAAATTATTTTATTTTAATCAAATAAAGTTTATTAAAATAAAAAATTAAATTAAATAAATAAAATGAAATGGTATAAAATAAAACAAAGTAAATAATAATAAAATTAAATTAAATTAAAATAAAAAAATATAATATAATAGAATATTGTGACATAATGCAAAGCAGAAAAATATAAAAGAAAACTACACAACATAAAGATAAAAATAATATAAAACTAAATTAAATTTACTTAAAATTATTGATTAATTTATTGCAAAATTATTGATTAATTGTTTTGTATTATTTTTATTAAGCATCACTGTGCATAAGCAAACAAATCAATTCATCTATTATTCCACCTTACGTAAGTATATGTACAGATATATGTACACATGTGTTTTAGTTGTTTCCACCGGCTTTGTGTGAGGATGGATTTTCGCAATCATTTTAATTATTGCAAATTACATATTTTTCAAATGATAAATAATAATTGATGCAATAGCAGAGAAGTAAATTAAAACACACGAAAGTAGCATACAAATCTACGTGTGTAATATTTTAGGTATATATTTTTAAAATATATATACAAACATATGTATGCTTAATTTATTTTAAATGCGTGCAACAATGTTTCTCTGTAAGCGTATATATGTATGTATGTACATATATGTTTTTGTGCTACGCTCCCATTGCAAAATTAGTTCATACGACATAGCAGTGACATGCTCGCAAGCCATTACATACATACATACATATACACATTCATAGGCCTAAATAATTGCACAGTACAGGGATTGGTGGCGTTAATTTTTCTTTGGCTATTTTTGTGGCAACAACGCATTGAATTGAATAAGTGAAACGCAATGAGCCGAAACTACAAAAATACCTTTAGGTATAGTGACTCTTACACATGTATGTATATATAAATGCATACCGACATATTGGCTTATAATTAGTACTGACGACAAAATGTACAATGACGGCGGCTAATAAATAGAACTCAATAAAGGATATGTTTTTTGTTCGTATCTACATATATATATATATACCCCATATAGTTTAACAATGAAAATGTCAACGTAACAACCTTCTACGCAAGCCAAACCTCCGCCCACTCAGCAGCTAGCCCATCCAAAGAGAAAAAAGAGTAAAAAAAGAATAAACACAAAACCAAAGTTCAAAAAGCAAAAACAAAGAGAATGAAATGCGTAAAGTGAAAAAAGAATGTTCTAAAATAAGATATTTCCTCGCAAGTGTGTTTACTGTGAAAATAAATAAGCCAAAAATTGTGCACTTTAACAAACTCTTACGGTCGCTTGGTTTTTATTAATGAATGGTAGCAATCGATGTATGCGCAGCTGCTGGCAAACGACTTGTCGTGCATACATACATACATACATACATACAAACATAAATTTATAGTTCTTTTTTTTGTATATATTTATATATATGTATATGAATTAATTTCAGCTCCTAACAGTAATTGTGGCAACACAAACAATAACGTGCGCCACCAAAATCGCGACCGCGGCAGCGTGTATGCTTGCTCTGTCAAGCGCCGCCATTGGTGGTGGGCAGTAAAAAATCAATAAATTGTGTATTTTCATATATATATTTTTGTTTTTGATGGCTCTTTGGCTTAAGCCATTAGTCTTAGGGGGCATTAAGCATTCGCGTTTCTACCTTTAAGTTAACTTTTACATAACATTCTTCCGTTTCCGTTGTCTTGGTAGCTGCATGCATTGTTGAAGGGTAATCAAGCGGTGACCACGGTGGTGAGCATTACAAGTAAAAGTGGTTGAAAAATTTTTTTTTTAATTTTTTGTATTGAAAATTAAATGCGAAAATTGTTACATAAATAATTTTGTTTTTATTTTTGTGTGCTCACTTGTGACAATTTTGAAAGTATTAAAAAAAAAATTGGCAAAAAATGCAAATAAAATTCAGGTGCCAGTAATTAAAATCAGCTGTTATATTCATTTTGGCTACCTACATACACACTTTTTGAGCCAATTACTAAAACAGTTTTCAGCACTGTAAAAATTTATATGAAGTGCAAAAAAAAAAAAATTATTCTCAAATCGTGTGGTCATCATTTGCCGCATAAGCGTTTCATTCTTGAAATAAATTCACTTAAAATTCATACAAAAATATATGCAAATATATAAGCACACATATACATACATACATCATACATTTGCTCATATGCAAAGTGTCTTGCACGTGATATGTATGTATGTATGTAACCACCGTGTGACACAATTTCCAAGCCCAAATGTCAAAGTGAAATGTTAAAGCGCATGCAAGAAGCAGCAAAAGGCAAAATATGAAAATGCATACATACCTACATACACGTATATACTGTGATACAAAAAGACAATAAAAACAAAATCGCAATAAAAATGGAAAATGTGTAACAAAATAGCATAGTTGAAGGCATCGTAAAAGTTTGCAATAAAACTTGTAGTTTTCAAAAGGAAATGTGATTTATGAACGAAGCAAATTTTTAAGTGTAATAAATTAATTGAAAAAAAAAAAAAATGAATAAATGTATGTAATTAAAAATTCAATGAAAAAAATGTAAAAGTGTAGAGAGAAATTATGCATCACTTTGTTAAAAAAATATATGCCTCGTAATTATGGCAATTTTAATATTTTAAGACAGCCAATTAGAAGATGAAAGTGTTTTTGTTGTAACGTGCATATATTGTGTGTTTTTTGTGTAATGTCTAAATGTACAAATGTGCATTTGTATAATAAGAAAATATAAAAAGGTGAAAGAAACAAAATTTCGGACTTTTTTTTTTTTGGAAATTTAATGAGAATAAGAAGAAATAGTAAAGGCGTTGTATTCGGCCAAGTCGAAGTTTTGCATGGAGGCCCTACGATATAGTGGTCCGATTTCGATGGTTTCCGGTGACAATATTTATTTGTAGATATGTGTTAAAAATGCCAAGTTGCAAACTCGTAGATGCCTATTTGACGGATTTTTGATCGAATTCCTCATTTCTGAACAAATCGGTTGTATGGGGGCTATATGTCATAGTCGTTCGATTTCATTGAATTTCAGCACCAATGTGCAGCTCATTATATCCTTGCAGAATATTAAATTTCACGCTCCTATTGGAATTTTTTTATACATATATCACACAGAATCTCATATCCAAACAAATCGGTTGTATATATAGTATATTATAATGGGCCGAACTGGCCAGTTCCGACAAAAGACATTTCTAGTGCAACAGTGCCGCTTTGTACCCGGTTCAGTTGAAATATCTCAAAAACTGAGCCACCAGTTTGCTTACAAACAGACGGACAGACGGTGGAATGGACGGGATTGCTAAATCAACTCAACTCATCGCATTCATTTTGATGAGTCTTTCTCTATTCTCCTTCTGGTATTTACATACTTCGGACCAAAGGTATAAAAACAATTTACAAATTTTGAGGATATGAAAAGACGTGTTGGCGAGGCAAGGAATGTCCACCGTTCCGAGAGTATTACGGACTTGAAATAAAAGCCTCCTCGCAAAAAACCATCAGCGGTTCGGAGGCGGCTTAGGATAAACTGTGGGTCGCTCCATTTGTTGGAAAAAAATATCGAGACACAAAACCACAAAGTGGAGGTGGAGTTCGACCGAAAAATCGCTTCAGCGGTTACAAAGCGTCAATTACATATATATATATATATATATTATATATATATAATATAAGTATAATATGATATTGGAGCTATATATAAAAGACCACGCAAGTGCAGCAAATTTTGGCTCATTCATCTGGGAGAGGTCAAAATCGATTATTTTACATATGTTTGAAGTAGGTCCACTCTCTGAACCTAGTATAGTAAAATAAAAAATTTAATTTTATATCACTTATGAGAGACCCCTTCGAGCTCACACATCTGTAGTATACGATCCCTTAATTGGAGACGTGCAGCTACCTATTTGATTGATATCCTCGTAAAACTTAAGGCTGACATCACCGTCATCCAAGAAGTTGATGGACGAGACAAGGACAGGAACATAAGAAGATGGATTCTTGTAAGGTCATATATAGAGACGCAAATATATAAAGGAGCGCAAATTTGCTGGTCAATTTCTGGTGGGTGAGAAATTTCGTCGCTAAATCCTGGTACTCACCTCGGAGTGGGAACGTTTAACAGAAATCTGCATGAAAGCGAAGTTCTTTAACTTATCGCAGATAGAAGGAAAGGACAATGTGACTAAGGATACCTTCTATGAAATCGCGTTGTCCCTGTCAGGTTTTGCTTGGCGATTAAAGGTGGATAAAGACGACGGTATATTTGTCACAACAATCGCATAGCCTAGCCAATATGACGAAACATTCCCAAATGGGTTAAGACTGATCGACATCTATGGTGCACGAAATGTGGTTATCTGTAGCTTAAAACTCCGGCACAAGAAAATTCATTAAACTACATTACGCAAACAACTACAATAGATGATATTGTGATAAATGGTCCCCAGTATTCTAGATGTAGGTACGCTGCGGGCATCTGATATTGACTCGGCTCACTCTCTTACCACAGCCAAGGTACGCACGCACACACCTCTATGTAGCAAAGAGACCGAGTTTAAAAACATAGCAAAGCTCGACAGCCAACCGATTTTCTACACGACTTGGACTCCTGCTATCTTAGAGCACTCTTCAGTATCTCTATATATATTTAACGGTGGAACAAAATTTCAAGCTCTCTACGTACCGTCGCTACCGAAACTCCAACATTGTTTCTAGAGCTAGTGCGATGAGGAATGTCGGTCGAACAACGTTGCGATCGACCACAACAGATGTGATGTGGAGTTGATACCGAAAGCTGAGGAGGGAAAGAAGACGTCGCGTTGGTAGACAAAAAAAAAGAAAGAGGCCGATATGCGTGAGTATGAAAACCGTAAGAGACTGGCCGACATGTATAACGCCAGAAATTTCGATGAACTGAAGTTGCCGCAGGGTAACTTATGGAAGATCGGAACATACCCACATAGGAACGTAAGAGGCATTCTTGTCCTTTGTTCAAAGAGTATGAAGCGGAATTTCTAGTCTATGATGCTGGAAAGACGATCCACTACCCGACAATTTTTATGTTCGGATAGCGATTGACCACTTAAAGTATAAAAAACTTTCTGAGTCATCATCGGTGATTGCAACTTGAGGAATACTTTTCCTTAAGTTATACTTAGCTAGTACATTTAGTTAAAGAGCAGAGCCATCCATCAAGAAACTGAATGAAACTTATCGATGTGGCTTTAAAACTTAGACGAGATCCGTCAGAAGCTCTCCGAGCTGACTGGTTTCAAAGAGGGTGACGCTTTATCAAGACTCGGCTCCCACGTCACTCTTGTCAGTCATAACTTTGAAGTCGTAGATAACTGCCTCTATCTTGGAACCAGTATTAACAACACAGAATTACTCTTGCCACTTTAGACTTCGTAGGCAATAAAAAATTAAAGTCCTCTCACGACGAACATAAAGCAAGCTCAACAAGTCACTCATTATTTCCGTCCTACTATATGGTGCAGAAGCATGGACGATGCAGACACTAAGAGTGTTCGAGAGAAAGGCAAGTCTTTTGTGCTTTGATAATGGCGAATACCACAGACGAAGGGATAATGTACGAAAAATACGGTGTCATTGACATATTTCGAAGAATTGTGAAACAGTAGATATGCTGGCTAGATTATGCCGTCGGAATGGATGAAAGTACTGCAGTTTTTGAAGTATTCCCTGCTGTACTCAAGTGTGAAAGCAGAGGATAAGGAAGATCCGCTAAAAGGATCCGGCGATCTGGTTTCATTTGATGCGACTGGTGCGTTATTGTTAATTCGGATAAAACCGTATAAACGGTTCCCGGCGACAATGAAGAAGATTAGGAGGATGTATATTAACTAGCTCATGGTAGGAAAATTCATTGGAAAATCCATTTCATATGTTGGGTGGGCTTAAAAATATTGTAGTTGCCCATACATAAAATTATCAAATCCCAATCTTATGTAATTTAAACATTTTTACTTCGATTGCTTCACACTTATTGAATTTCATGAGTTGATGCATACAAACGAGTATGTATGTACATACGTGCTACTGAAAATGTCGGGCTCAAGTAAATCCAAAGCCACATCTGACTGCTGATTTCAATTCACTACTCTCATGCAGTGCGGACAACTGCAACTTTGCACTCTACAAACATACATAAATACATATATATATGTACATACGTGTACATAAAAATCACACAATGCTTGCTAATTTCCCAAACTAATTTAATTTTGAAAATTTCTTTGTGAACTTCCTTTTTGCAGCTCTTTATCGTTTGTGGATTGATTGTGGAAACTGGGAAATAAAAGTGAAATAGAGGAAGCTGCAAGTTATTAACAAACAATACGATTTAACGGTATCAAAAAGGAAATTGTGCCGCATGTTTTACATTTCATATCGAATAACGAACAACCAAACAAATCAATAGCGTCAACAACAACAACAACTGCTGTTGTTGTAGTGTCGACATATCACATTGAACATTTGCGTAAAGTAAATGAGATTTGGTGGGTCGACTTGCCGCGCCATAAGGCGATATTTTTTGGTTGTCATCGCTATCACCTTGGTGCCATTAGCGTTGGTCTATGTGGTACGATACGACAGTATTTATCGCATCAAAGGATATGAGGTGAGTGCATAACGCAATAGTCAATTATGGTGTTTACGTATTTAAATATTTGTAATTTCGTACTTAGCAGCCCACAAATTCATGCAAATAGGCACTATAAAAATTAAAATTTTATTGTTTAATTCCGCTGTGCCGTTTGCTTTAAGTTTTCAATTAATTATTTTCATCTTTAGTTTGGCGATAAGCAAAGTGCAAATATAAAAAAGCTCGCACTTAAAAGTCAGTTCAAAGTTTATCGTTGGCGTTGTTTTCAGTTTACAATTTTTTTTTGCTGTTTTATTATAAATATAATATATGTATGTAGGTATTATATTATTTTTATACGCCTTGTAAATATGTTAATTAGCTATTTTAGATTTTATTCCTATTCACGGCAATGTAAATATACATAATTTACACATCTCGAAGCTTTGGCAAGTACACGAGCTTTTACAGTATTTCACTCACGAATATTAGCTTTGCAAAATTTGTCATAACTACAAATATAAACACTATTTACCCGTTAAATGCCTTTTTACACTCCAATTAGTAAATTTAAGTGCGTTAAAATGGAAAATAGCAAAATTAAAATTTTATAACTAGTGCTTTTTAGACTTGTGGTTTTCAAGAAATAAAACGCCTACGATTTAATCGTATGGCCAAGTATTTAAGTTTATTATAAAGATAAGGGTTTGACAGTGCGGCAAATGCTGCCCACCGGTAGGCTCGTACGAATTTTAGCCGAGTGGTCCAATTTTCGGCTGCTTTTTGTAGCAATTGGCGCCGTGCGACAGCAATAGCGCACCGAATATTCTCTTCCAAATTGTAAATCGTGTCTGACTTACCTGCGTAGATGAATGAGCGACTTCACATAACCTCACAAAAACGGTCCAGTGGTGTTAAACTGCACAAACTGGAGCCTACACCACAAGTCCACAAAGCGAGATGCGCTTACCAAAAGTTTCCTTCAATAAATTGATTGATTTGTTAGTTGTAGGTCATGCATGGCCGACTTGTTCGAACCAAAGGTCGTTGAAATCATCATCCTCCGATTCAGGCGCGGAAGAGTCATTACTCATGACTCTATAGCGTTCCCCATTAATTGCAACATTATGGTCGACCCCCAGTCCATTGAGAATACCAAATATAGACTTTCTGAGGATGTAACGTGGTCTCAACAATGGCTTGCGACAATTCTGTACACATTTAACCAAAACTGAGCTTCTTCCATGAATAAATTTTTCTAGTGCAAATCGGGAATCGGACCGAGTTTGATGGTCGTGGCACAAGTTGAATTTTATAAGCCCGCTAATCAAGCTCCTTCCGCAAAATCTGCCATAAAATATATGGGCACAGCTTTAATTATTGCGCACATTGTTTATGGGCTAATTCGGATCTTCTTATTTCATATCAGAAATACACTCGGAAAGGTTGACATTCCCTGCTGAGGGGCGACCGCAATTAGAAAATTTAACTTAATTTTTTGTTTAAATTAATTTTCTATAACATTTGGATGTTGGTCCCACGATAATTTGAACCCGAGCCTTCCGCAGTACGCGATTCTAACCACCCGGTTACCGCGTTGAACAATGAGAGATTATTGGACGAATATCGATCTGAATACCTCGGTATTTAGAGCTCTGTAGAGCTTTGGTTCTCTATGCAAATTAAAGCAGTCGTTGAGGCCTTTCGCTCATACCTGACTGAAGGTCTTGTAAATTTTTTTCGGCGTCCTTCTTTGTCTTCCAAATACTGGACACTCACAGATTACGTACTCTACTGTGCCCATATATACCCTACATTTCCGGCACCTGTTTTTCTCCATCCCACCTTGGTGAAAGACATGCGACACCAAAAGGCAATGCGCTGTAATAGTCATATTAGCAGCCTGGAGCCCATCCTATTTTCTGCTAGTAAAAACTTTGTCAGTTTGGCGTCCTAAGTTTTGCTTAAACTCTCTTTGCTCGCTTAAAAAACAACGAAGCGGCTGGGTCTGACGTGCAACAGCGGCGGTGAAGAGCTGATAAGGTGCATGCATCAGCTACTTTGAAGAATATGGTCGGATGAAAGCTTGCCCGACGATTCGAATTTAAGTGTACTCTGCCCACTCAACAAAAAGGGCGTTCCCACAGTCTGTGCCAACTACCGTGGCATAAGCCTTCTTAACATCGCAAATAAGGTCCTGTCGAGCGTTTTGTGTGAAAGACAGAGGCCCACCGTGAACAAACTGATTGGACCTTATCAGTGTGGCTTTAGACCTAGTAAGTCAACCCTGCACCGTTCGTCGATTTTGAAGCAGCCTTCGCTATTTCTAATTTGGTATCCTCGCAAAACTTATACGGCTGTGTAACCTGACGCTAGACAACACCCGAAGCGTTGTCAGAATTGGGAAGTACCGCTCCGAGCCGTTCGGTACCAAACGAGGTTTCAGACAGGGTGACTCCTTGTCGTATGATTTCTTCAATTTGATGCTGGAGAGAATAATTAGAGCTGCAGGGCTGAATCGAGAAGGTAGAATCTTCTCTAAGAGTGTACAACTACTGGAGTAGGCAATTGAAAAGTAAAGTCCTCTTTCGCCGAACGAAAACCAAATTCTACGATTCGCTCATTATACCCGTCCTGCAGCATTTGATGAGACGGCGTTAGGAGCTTTCGAGAGAAAAGTTTTGCGAATGATGAATGGTCCTTTGCGCATTGGCAATGGCTGGCTAAGTCATGAGGTCCGGATGGATGCGAATACTAGAGCTTTGAAAGTTTTCGATGCAGTACCCGCAAGTGGAAGCAGAGTAAGAGGAAGACCTCCACTCCGTTGGAAGGATCAGGTGGAGAGTGACATGACCTCACTTGGTATTTCCGACTGGCGCCAAACAGCGCAAAATAGGGTTCAATGGTGCGCTATAATTAATTCGGCTATAATCGCGTAAACGGTGCCAACGCCAGAAGACTGTATAGCAGAGGCAGAGGCAGAGGCAGAGGCAGAGGCAGAGGCAGAGGCAGAGGCAGAGGCAGAGGCAGAGGCAGAAAATAAAATTTGAACGTTTTTCCAGTATTCGAACTCCTACATATCAAAGGAAATAAGATAAGTACATATATTTTGTGTAAACATTTTATGAATATGTTTCGCCAATGAGTTTTTAAAGATTTTCTTTTGCTAGAAAAAAAGAATTTAAAATACGGAAATTGTTTACCACAAACAGTTACGCAAATGGGAAAATTTTCAACGCAATTTTTATTTTATGCGCTGTGTACCTACATATATTTATTTAAGTGCAAAAATATTTATATTCGCGAATAATACTCGCTTAACTAACATATATATCTATAATAAAAGTATAGGGTTACCCATTTCGTGGTTTCAGAAGGGCAGGACTATATTTTGACATCTGTCAAGCCAGTCACAGTTAGAATAATAAAAATCTATTACAAAAATGTTAGTTTCTCAAGGTGCAACAACAGTACAATGCGTTAAAATCAGTTACTGGCTGGCCACGTTTCGTGCTTCAATAGGAAATTATGGTTGACCTAAAATTTTAAAAGACTTAATCGCTTCCAGATATTGTAAGGCCTGTTCATCATAGTTTTGCTCGTTCGACCTCAAATATCGCTAGTGTAAGTGAAAGTGTAGCTGAATACCCGAATGTGTATATTTCTCGACGTTTTCAAAAACTGAGACTTTACAGAGAGAGAGAGAGAGACATTACCTTATGGCGTATTTTACACTTGGACTTACACTTATACTCGTATCCATAAGAATCCAGCTCACGTAACAACTGAAGACAGCTGACGCCCGCAAATATGGCTTTATTGCGAGAGAAATTTCCCGGTCCCACAATCTCTCGTGTTGGCGATGTCAATTGACTAGTTGCGATCGTGTGATTTGATACCGTCGGGCTGTTTTTTGTGAGACTAAACGAAAGATCGTCTTCATGCGGACAAATACTTAACTCTTGAATATTTGAAAACCAACATTTGTAAAATTCTGGCTAAGATACCGCCCAATGTGCGCTAGGAAATGTTCGAAAGTTACTTCAAACCCATAAAATTTTGCAAAAATTTGCGAGGCGGTCATGTGAAGGATGTGAAATGCACTTACATATATACATGCCAAGGTTCTAACTTTATAATCAAAAAAGGAATTCCATGGAAAAAGTTTTTTTTAATGCATTTGATTTATACTTATTTTCAAAACCACTAATTGAACAACCCTGTTTATGTTCTTTAAAGTTGAAAAGTAGATTTTAAAAATTCTGCTAATTACCTTTGTTTAGTTCGGTAGTGATGATGTAAATAAATTTGTTGTTGTTGTTAATTAGCGCTTTGTAATCGCTAAAGCAATTTTCGGCCGATAAATCAATTTTGGTAAAATAACATTTATGCGTATAAAAATTAAATGGAAGTGTCTTACATTTACGTCAGCAGTAAAATATAGTTATTTTTTATAGAAGTAAGGGCATAATCGGCTATCCAAAGAATCACGATTGACAGTGGGGACCTTTTGTAAAGGTACTTATGCCTAAATATGTCAGTTTAAGGGTTCATTAAAAGCTCATTGCAGCATCTGTTCGGGAAGGCTATGAGCGTGCGTCCATCTTGAAGCGAACCGAAATTGTGCGCTGGCCCTGTAACTCCACACTTGAAAAGTAGCGATAGAGGTCGGCTCTGCTGGTTAGGGGTACAAGAATTTGGACGTGGTAAGGCAGGCTTGTCGTAAGAGGCGACCAAAATTCAATAGTTCCCGCGGCAGTCGGGTCATTCTACCGGAACGACCGCAACATCTATCCAGGCAAGAACTGCCACTCCCAATTCGGGAATATTTCTGCTGTAACTACAATAACAATGGGATAGAGGAAATGTGCAAATTCAATGTTGGATTTGTGATAAGAGAGTGACTCCGAGGCAGGGTACTTTCGGACCTGCAAGGCAACGTTTGTTCTGTCACAAATTTCATTCAAATGAGACTAAGAGCTTTTTTAAAAAACTTAGCACCTATTGACTTTTCCACGGTCCGCTATATAAAAGGTATGTGTAAGCCAAGATTCCAACAATAACTAATTCACCAAGCTACATGGATGTGAAGACATGTTTTTCCTTCCGCCTATGTGCAGTTCTTAGTGGCCGGCAGCCAGCAGGCATAACTTGTTGTAACGAAATTGCACTGAACACCGTTTGAAGCTCGCTATGTACAGCGACTTGTCGTGCAACAGTGCGATTAAGAGAGGGAGAGGAAGAGGCGCGTTGTTAGCTCGAATAGGTGATCACAGAAAGCTTGAAAAACTGGCTGCCAGGGTCTTTCAAGACCAGAGTATACTCACTTAGCACTCAAAGTGGTGAAATGACGACCGATGTCTAATAAGCAATCCGATTTCAGACTCATAGACGATGGAACTGGACTGAATAGGCAATTGAAAAGTGAAGGCTTCGCTCCTAGAACAAAGACCAAACTCTCCAGTCTTCTCATTATTCACGTCTTGCTATTTGAGACAGAAGCGTCAACAATGACGACATACGCGCTCAGGCATGCCTGTCATAAGAAGCGACTAAAATCCAGTAGTTCTCGAGACAATTCGGTCTTAATACCGGAACGACTCGGATTTTTATCCAACCAATGAGTGTCACTGCCGCAGCATTCCTCAAAAAGTCATTTCGGGTATATTTTTGTGGTTACAAAAACAACAACAAAAAAATTCGTCATGCGATGGCTCGGCATTGATGTTAATGTAGCTTCCAAAATGGACGAAGTTGCCTCCAAATTCGATGTTATCACTGCCAACAGCGGCACGACCTCCACGTACGCTGAGGGAAAAAATTTTGCCTTGCTCTGAATTATATATTCCAATCGCTTTTAGTTTTCAGCTATCAACAGACTCAACTTTGATTCGAAAAAAATCTACGATTCTCATATTTTAATTGATACCAACTACCCATGTATTGCACTCAAGTGAGGGTGTCAATTTAGCCATGCAAACGCCAACAAGCAATGCCATGCTGTCATTCGTCTTCCGGGACTTCTAAACATTTGCATACAAATAAATGTACAAATATCTGCACATATGAGTACTGCATGCAAAAACATTTGTGGAACACATACTCGCCTGAGCGAGTTATTGTCATTTTATTGTATTTGCACTTGACCCTGGCACTAGTGACCACGATAACGATTGCTCTTCGTTGAGCATTTGAGGCGTTGTGGCCGCTTGGTCGCTTGGTCGCTTTTGAGGGGCAAAGCCGTAAACTTGCATATTGCATTCCCAATGTGGCGTATATACACACACCCACATACACACACACACACGCACACACACACAGTTGAATATAAGTAAGTAAGCGGCTTTAAATGATTTTCTTTGCTTTATGCGCCACTTGGAAAATTTGTTTACAACTACAATACTTTGTACATACTCGTACATACATACACGTGTATGTCGTGTTGTCATTGTTGTTTTTATTGCAATTGAACAGTACTTTGTTAAATGCGTTTGAATTTGTATTGAAATTTGTATTGAAATTTGAATTACATGCATATATGTATGTATGTATATTTACTGGTGGTCTTTTTGTTGCCTCCCGCTGCGTGTGTATGGAAACTTATACCAAAACACATTTAAATATACGAGATATGTTTATTTGTTGGTAAATTCATTTGCTCCACAGTGTTCACATTATAAAAGCTGCGAATACACAAACACTTGTGATGAAATTCGAATTTGAAATTTCAATTAGGTGCGAATATAAACTCTAGCTAATAAATGCGGTGTTATAAATAGAATGTATTGTGCAATATTTCTTTTACAAATCTCGATTTAATAGTTTGAAATTATTTGATTAATTCTTTTCTTTTTAATGGTTGTAGAAATTAATTCAATCGTTTTTTTTGTGTTCAAAAAAGTACCTTTTTATTGGAAAAGAGTAAAAAACTGCAAAATATTGTCCGTCCGAAGCGACTACTTTTACCCATCTCCATGCTAATTTTCCAATACCATCTCTGGAAAATGAGAACACTCTATTCTAAATATTAATGATTGAGTTTTTCTGCGATTTCTTCAAAATGCTTAACTGGTTACACCCTCCACAAATTATTTTGCATCCATCAGTAATCGGAAAGAGCAAGGTCTATACGGCGTGTGGGGTGGAGTGAAGCTCACATAGTTTTAGAGCATGCTATCCACGTTAGGCCGAGCCGTTGTCTGGGTACCAGGACACATGAACATCCCAGGCAACTGCATGGGGGACGAACTAGCAAGGGAAGGAACCCACGATAAAGCATACATACCTCTGTCCACGGCAAAGTACATGCTTAAACTGACCAAACAGCTATGGCCGAGCTGGACGCGAAAAAACCAAACATCTTCTCCTTCTAGACCGGTTCTCCATTAGCATAACGCCAAGCATAATAACTGGACACTGTTCAATGGGGTTTCACAGGAAAAGAATGGAATATCATTCTAATGATTTCCGACCCATCTGCAGGGATGAAGAAGAGGAGGAGACCGTTGAGCACTCTCTCTGCCTCTGCCACTGTTTAGCCCTGACATGAGCGCGATACAAATTTCTTGTGAAACATTTCTTCGTCTGTCTCGCTGAGAATCTCGTTGCCTTTTTAAGGCACAAGAAATCGTTCGATCATCTGAGAAGGTGAAGGCAGGAGCCTCAGCGGTATCACAATGGGCCTATTGGCATAAGTGTGCTAAAACAACAGCAGCCGCATCAACTCAACTCAACTCTGGTTGGCACGGATCTCGATGCAGTACTATTCCTCAGGACGCTTTTTGCTCTCGACGGTAAAATCACCATTTTTGAAGAGTGGAATCCCCTCTTCGGAAAGCCCGGGCTCATACCCCGGTGCCAGCAATATCCAAAAGTTGTGGAAAATTAATTTAAAATAAAAAATTAATTAAGGTAAATTTTCTAATTGCGGTCGCCCCTCGGCAGGGAAAGTTCACCCCTCCGAGTATATTTCGGACATGAAATAAAGCTCCTCATAAAAAACCATCAGCCCTTCGGAGAAGGCTTAGAATTTACTGTAGGTCTAACCATTTGTTGGAAAAACATCAAGACGCAAAAACACAAATTGGAGCAGGAGCTCGGCCGAAAAATTGCTTCAGCGGCTACAAAGCGCCAATTATATATTATTGTATTTATATATATATTTAGCTCTTTTGAATTTATTTTAATTTTAATATGGGTTTATTCATTTTGATTAACCTTAAGTTTAGTTTTATCTTCTATTACATTATTTTATTTAATTTTATGTATTTATTTCATATTTTTTTAGGTCTATTTTTCACTTTTCATTATTCTTTATTTTATTTTATTTATTATTTATTTTATTTTGCTTTATTCTATTTTATGTTAGTTTATTTTAATTTAATTTATATTATCGTATTTTAATTTTATTTTTTATTTTATTTATTTTTTTTATTTTAGTTTATTTTATTTCATTTTTTATTTTATTTTATTAAAATTTATTTTATTTTTTATTTTTTCCTTTTTGTTTCATTTTTTTTTTTTTTTNTTATTATTATTTTATTTTATTTTGTTTGTGTATTTCCCGCGAATAAGAAAATATCCATCTAGGTTTTTTTTTAAATAAGTAAATCTATAAAGAGCTTAACTGAAAATAGCTACTAGTTCGAGCAAATTAAATTATTATTTTTCCCTCTGTTTAATACGAGATTATGATCAATAAGTCTGTGTCAGTTGTATATAATACCGGAATAAACGTCTTATAAAAATAAGCTTTCATGTGCAATAAAAAAAATTTCTAAGAAAGTGTTGAAGAATACCAAATATATATTAATTTCCCTACAATGTGTAAACACTTGATTGCCTATCACATACATACATACGTTTATGCAAACAATTATTTCTTATTAGACGCTTTGTCAGCTAATATAGCAATTCAAATACATAGTTGCATTCGCTGTTCATTCATCTTAATTATTCATTTACAGAAGCCATCTGCGCAATCAAATTCAAATCATTTCATAAGCAAAGCCACTTATTACCGAGTACATACATTCTTAGGGAAGAAATTGTAAAATATTTTTTAATAGCAGTGCAGTTATTTGCCTTTTATCACTCATACGCCCCGTGACCCGACCAAAAATTCTACTACACAGTTACGCCCAAAGTAATACTTTTGGCATTTTCCACCCTCCCAGTTGCTCCATTGTACACAGGCCCAACAAACAAACAAACAGAACTCATATTCATCTTGATGGTGTTTGTTGGGTATATATGAACAAATATTAATACATAGTTTATAAATAGAAAATTTACCGTCATACAAGCTTACATGCATACATACATATAGGCATACTCAACTCATTTGTTGTACATTTGTTATTGTTGTTCGTTGTAGTGTTGCTTTCTTATTCGTACATATGTGAAGCAAGAGATATGCTATACATATACACAGATTTTTCGTAAAAAAATTGTATTGTATGTATGTATGTACATACTTATATTAGAAAATTTTGATAAAATTAAAAAAAAAATCGTAAATACATTATTTTTTAATAAAATTCCAAATTTTCCATATGCACCAATCACTTGCACCATTGCCACGTAAAAAATTGCTTCACAATTCAATTGTGTCCACCACTTCCGTACAATACAATGAAACTTTCTTAGCTAGCTAGTACTTGAGCTTAGCGATTTTGCAACAACAATAATAATATGCAACAAACAATAATATTTTCTATATGTATTATCGTACAATTTTTTTAGGCGTCAAAGTTCAACGATCATTTCAGTGATCAAAGTTTTCGCTATCCGGTAATGTTGTTGGGCAAAAATAAGGATCTAACTGTAGCGGCAACAGGAAGTTCTCGCAAAAAATTTTACAAATATGCTAAAGTAAATATACAAAACCTAAATGCGTAATAAGCAAAAACCAAAAACCAAAAACGAAAAACAAAAAAAAAAAACAATAAAAAATTAAAATAAGTGACAGTTAATTGCAAATAAATCCTCTTTTTATGTAAATTAGACCATTTTGCTCCACCTACACACACACACTCACACAAACACATGCGCATTAGTGCATTAGTACATTTTCGAAATTAGCAGATGAAATGCGATTGGTGCAAATGAAATATTGTATTTTAATTAACGCTTTAATGCACAACAGCGCGACTAATTAGCAACAATCGTACATACATACATACATATATACAAGTGCAGATAAATGTAAATATTAACATCAGTAATCAGTATTTAAACACACAAAGATTTGTGGCGTAAATTGGTGAACCAAAAAAAAATTCAAAATTCGCATAGGATTTGCTATTGATTTATAATATTAATTTGCCATATACTATATGAGTTTAGACTATATTATATATATAAATATATATATATATATATATTCATTAAAAATAAATTAAATATTATCATTAACACAAGCACAACTTTGTCATTCATAATCCACCATGAAATACGCCAAATTGTAAGCCGATTTAGTGTTAGCATTCATTATACTTTACTACCTACACCCGTTCAATCGCCCCCCATCAACTGTGTATGTACTGTGTGTTTGTTACTCATACGCCCCATTGCACAAATAAGACACTAGCCATGCTACTACCGCCACTACCACTAACACTACCATGCCACAGCGTCACCTCGAACGCCATCACCTCAGCCACAACCCATGTCTTGAAATCATTAACACCCTCCCCCCCCATAAACGCATTTTGTATGCCACTGCTGCGACTTTCCCTATAAAACTATAAATCAAACATTTTTACTTCATTTCCATCCAAATTATCACAAAAATGCTTGATTTTAGTAAAAAAAAAAATATATAAAGTTAAGAACGTAATATAAATACACTTATAAATACCTCTATATGTACAAATATATATATATATATATATAATTTCCGTTGCTTTTGATTATTTCCTTGCAAATATTAAAAAAAAAGAACATTTTTTTTATATTTCATATTTCCTTTTATGCCATGTAATGCGCGCACGCCATGGCAGTATGTTAATGAGTCACACGTGCCAGTTTTGCCAGAAGAGTCGGTGCACACGCTATCACCGAACGATGTGGAGCGTATCGAGAAGCGCATGGAACGGCGGCGGAAATTGCTTCAAGAGAAATGCAGCGAATTCGGTCTAGATGTTGTTGGTAAATATAGAAATTATTTGGAATTTGAAACGAATTTATTTCATTTTTTTTTTTCATTTTTTATTTAATGAGTGAGTATACGTAAGTCGAAAATTATTTTAGCAAAGCTCAAAGAACTCTACGCTCTATATATATCTCTAGAGATTGCAGGTTCGTTCCTGACATGGCCATCATGCCAAGGTTATACAATCTCCTGGCGATGGTCTCTTCCTCTTCTACTTCCCTACAGCCGCGACAGGTCATCCTAATCCCGTGAAGCCCCATTAAACAGTGTCCAGTTATTATACCAGTCGTTATGTTAATGGAAAATTGATTTAGAAGGACAAGATGTATAGATTTTTTCGCGGCCAACTTCGGCCATAGTTGTCTGGCCACGTTACACGTGATCTCGTTCAACCATCATGAGTCAGCTTCTCTGCTAAAGCAAGTGCTTTGCCGTGCACAAATTAAGCCAGCATTATGTGTGTGTTTTATCGTAGATAGAAGGGTTCCTTCCCTTGCTAGTTCATCCCAGACCACGGCAGTACTATACTTGTAGATGAACAAGTTTGAAGAATTGGATGTTTTCGAAATTACCACTCTGTTGCCATTCGTTATTTTTTCTAGTGCTTCTAACAACCGAAGTCATTATAAACTTCCTAGAGCATAAAAGAGTTGAAACTATAAATTAAAAGTCCACTGGTAAAGGAAGACCAATCAAATTTTGCCTCATGACTTTTGATAGCAAGGAAAAAAAGATTCCAATTACTACCACTTATTCCATCAAATATCTCAGGGACCCCAGGATATTTTTGGAGCTTTCCATATTAGAAGAAATGAGTAGAGTTCTCTGTCCGATCTTTATTTTATAATCCCTTGGAAAATTTTCCAGTTATATATCTGTTAATATCATAGCAAGTGGCCATTTTCAAACTAATATTAACGATGAGTTTGTGCCCTCTCGACGTTAACGATTTCATTTCTTTTTGATAACGTGGCGCCAAAACGAAACGATTTTATTTCGTTGGGTTAATTTTTTTTGTTAACGAAACGAAAAGAAATCGTTGTTTTTTGATCATCTCTGTTTTATACTGACTGAGGATGCACAATAACCTTTAATAAAATCAAAAAATTAGTAAAGCAAATATCCTGATTTACTATAATTTATTGACAATAAAAGCATTAAACTTTCAAAAACCTTTATTTTATTCACAAATATTAACGATCGAACCCTTTTATTTCTTTATTTATTTCTTAGGTAATGACACATGGCACAAGCCCAACGCTTGGGAGTTTTTAGTCAATAAAAAATATCATATTATATGGTTAGTTAATTCAAATTTGTATATATGTATGTATAGTATGTACAATAATATTAAAATACATAACCATAGGTGCAACGTGTTCAAAGCTGCCTCCTCATCATGGATGTTCAATTTTAACGTATTAGCCGGTTATTCACCGGAATTTCTACAACGAACCAAAGAAGTGTTCCTTAATTTGGCAAGGGAACGTTATCCACGTGTTAGCATTGAACAGGTATGAGTTACATAATGATAGCAAATTTTACTTAAATATGCTATACATATATTTGCTATAAAATATTATGGGAACTCTTTTTGAATCGTGTAGGGCAAATTGCTCATTGACTAGAGGAAAATACTATCGAACTGTATTTGAAGACCTAAGCAGCATTTCAATGGGTTTTATTTTTTGTAAAATTTTCTGATAGAACGTCCAAGCACTTGTCCTTCCGTGAGCGCTCAACTACGTAACACCGCATCTTATGGTGTCCCTCCAGCAGGATCTAATGGAGAAAATAATAAAATTAGAAATAATAATTTACTATTTTTACATAAAATATTATTGACACATTTTGCTTAAATTGAATATTGTAGAGTGAATAACTTGAAAATGGGTGAAATTCATCGAATTCTCTTACTCTTTGTTGTTGGCTAAATTTAAAGTATTTTTATAATAAGATTTCGAGCATCCTCGTTTGAGTACTTTTTGCTCTGCCAGCAGGAAGCTGATTCCAGTACAATCTTCTAGTTTAGGAACTGCTTGGTTCATAACTGAAATAAAATATGTACATAAACTCTATCAAGTCCGCGGTAGCCGGGTGGTTAGCACTCGGAAGGCTCGGGTGTTATAAAGAGTGAATTTTTAAGAGCTATGGGAAATTTTTTCAAAAAAAATGAATTCAAAAAATAGATAAAATTCAGAAAAATGCAAGATATTTTCATTTGAATCGACAGTACGGTCCATATATCAGGTGTACAACTTTACAGATATATTATTCAAAGTATTGTCCTTCGCTAGCGACAACTTTCTCCCATCTTTACGGCAATTTTCGGATCCCGGCTCGAAAAAAGGAGTCCTCTTTTGACGCTATACATGAAGCAATCCATTTTACCAACTCTTCGAAGGATTGAAAATGTTGATCTGCCAGGCCGTGTGCCATGGAACGGAATAGGTGGAAGTCAGAAGGGGCGACTTATGGGGAATACGGTGGGTGGGACAAGACTTCCCATTTCAGCGTTTCCAGGTACTTTTTGACCACTTTTGCTCGATGTCCCTTGGTTTCAACTCGTACGGCACCCAGTTTCCTTCTTTCTGAATCATGCCCAGAGCCTTGAGACGTTTTGAAATGGCCTGCTGACTCACTCCCAACGATTCGGCAAACTGTTCTTGGGTTTGGCACGAATCTTCATCAAGCAATGCTTCTAGTTGTTCATCTTTGACGGTTTTTTCTCTTCCACCACCATGTTTGTCTTCGGGCAGCATCACCGTAAGTTTCTGAGAGCATTCGATGCGCTTCAGCTGCATTTTTTTTTTTTCGAATCGTAACAGAAACGTAAAACTTCCCGCAAATGGCGAGAATTAGGCACATAAACGGACATTTTCGAGCGTGAATAATACTAAAACAAGAACAACTGTCACTGGAACGGCGATGACAATTCGTTAGGCACTGTCCACACTCACTTTAAATGCATTATCATCTATGTATTTCAACCAGCCTCAGCCAGTACAGCCACCTATCGGAAAACGGCGGAAGCAAAGTTGTACACCTGATAATTTAGTGTGCTCTTTCCAACATTTCGGCCGGTATCTTATGAATAAACGCTTCATTGTTGTCCTTCAATGCGTCAATTGAAACGGGATTTTCTGTATAGACATAAGATTTAACATAACCCCACAAAAAATAGTCTAAAGGCGTTAAATCGCACGATCTAGGGGGCCAGTTGATCAGTCCGGAAAGTGAAATAAAATTTCCACTGAACTCGCCTTTCAATAAGTCCATCATTACGTGTGCTGTGTGGCATGTGGCACCGTCTAGTTGAAACCCAATGTCATGCAAGTCAGGTTCTAGCATTTTGGGCAAAGAAAAGTTTTATATCAATTGACGGTAGTGCTCACCATTCACATTTACGTTATGATGCGCATCTGCTTTAAAGAAGTACGGTCCAATAATGCCACCAGCTCATCAACCGCAACAAACTGTGACTTTTTCTGTATGCATTGGTAGCTCTTGCAATGCTTGTGGCTGATCTTCACTCCAGAATCGACAAATCTGATTTTGATTTTGGCACCCTTTAAGCCAAAAATAAGCTTCGCGGCTGAACACAATTATATCTATCGATGAACTTTCTTAATAGAGCACGCATTTTGAAAATAAAATTCAATAATTTACCACCTTTTTTTCGTTTATAAGACGATTCGTGGTTAAATTATAGATCAAACTGAAGATGTTCGACTGTAATACAAAACACGAGACGGGCGTCAACTGTTTAAACTGGTGTTGCCCAAAAGACAATAGCTAAAAAATCACCCTTTAGCAAAGTTTTCATACGAGTTTGGTATTTTATAATCGTTTTCAGCGCAAATCGTTATAGCTTACCATGTAAATCGATAAGCCACGTACTGTTCTTTTGTAGATAGGATACAAAAGAATGCTGCTAATTTTCTTTACAATTGCTTTGACCTGCAGAGTAAATGGGGAATTTGTGTAATTGTTGTTTACTACTTAGATTCTATAAGCTTCGAACGAGCACTTCGAACTTGAAAAGCTTTCATGAAAAGTATAAGATATTATTTTTTATTGTTTGTAATATTCCTTCAAGTATCCTTGAGTGCTAGTAATCGACAACTACCACTAAGTTAAATATTTATATTATCTACCATAATAAATTACTTTTGACAACAATTCACTTATATGTACATACAAAAATACATATGTAAATGCATATTATTTCACTTTTCTTTTAATACTTTATATTCTCCTCCATTTTTTTTTTCAGCTGCGAGAAGCACAAAATGATTCGATTACTTTCATGATAGCACGTCATCCATTCGAGAGGCTATTGAGTGCATATCGTGATAAGCTGGTATTTGCCATACCACACTCCTATCACGACAAGCTGGGGCGGCGTATTGTACGCAAATATCGCAGCAAAGTGAGTTGACACGCGTTTGGCGGCGTTAGGATATAAGGAATGGTGCAAGTGTATGCACATACATACATATATACTTATATACATATGTATGTAGGTATATGTGTACCAAATGTTGTTGTTGGTTGTATGTATTTATATTTAGGAGTATGTGTATGTGAGCTACAGTTGACCTTTTCGTCTTGTGGCACGTTTTCATTTAATATTATTAATATATGTATATGTATACTCGTAGATGTATGCATACATACAAATTAATTATGGAAAATTCATTCATAAATATTATTTGATAATTTATTTCTCATTAAATATTAAAAAAAAAAAATTGCATTATTCTCCTTTCTCTTGCACCCCATAGAATTTGGATATGAATTCACCAAAATATCCAACATTCCCCGAATTCGTACGCTGGCTGTTGGATCAGATTAAGCATGGCAATGTCCAAATGGATATGCATTTCGTTTCGTCGACAATGTTCTGCACGCCATGCGTGATTAATTTCGATGTGATTATGAAATTCGATACACTCGACGAAGATCAAATGTATCTCATTAACAAGACTGGCTTGACGCGTGTTATAGCGCCCGAGTGGCGTAATGCGGGTAAAGGCAAGAATACGCAGGAGCTGCTGCAATCGTTCTACTCGAAATTGTCGCCAAAAGAATTGCATGGACTGTATCAATATTATAAGTGAGTATAATTGATTTAAATTGATTTTTTAATTTAAGCGAAAGAAACACATAACTAGAATTTAGGAAAGTGGAAAACTTTATGAGAGTAGGGATCTAGCTCGTGTCGTCTTTGAGGTCTTTGAGTGTTCCTCACACTAGACACCTCGGTTCCTTACTCTGCCTTATATTCAACAATGACCTTCCAAATGTAGTTTTTCATTCTAAAACTCTTAAGCCCCCTCGAGCCACCGACAGTCAAAACCAACAACAAAGTCAGCCTTGAAATATAGCATAGAATCCCTCTCAAATCCCTACTGTGGACCGAGAGGTCAATGTAAAAATTATAATTCTCTCTCGACGAACGAAGACCAAACTCTACTCGGTGTTAAGAGTTTTCGAGAGAAGGGTATTGCGTCAGATTTATGGTACTTTGCGAGTTGGAAACGACGAATAACGCAGCAGATGGAACGTTGACGTAAACGAAATATACGGCCACATTGACAAAGTTCAGCGAGTCAAGAAACAGCGAATGGTTGAAAGCAGTTCAGCTTTGAAAGTTGTTGCTGAAGTATCCGTCGGTGGGAACAGAGGAAGAGAAAGACCCCCACTGGCGCCAATCGGCGAATAAAATGAATGAGACAATATTTTTAACTCCACTATAATCGTGTAAGCGGTGACTATGCGAGTAAGAAGGAAGAAAATGTCTTCCATGATTTAAAATAAAACTGGTTTTGGTCTCAATTCTTGTTCGATCCCACCTTATAGGCTTACCTTTAGTTGACAGCTCTACGCCGAACTAACCTCCTATCAAATGGTGAGTTTTTCAAACATTCTGTGACTTGACCGATATGGGAAATCAACTAGTATCGTCTATAAAAAAATGTTTGCTATAAGTAAAGCACGGCACTTCTGTAGGAGAAATAATTGGTACCTTAGACCACCATTCCCATCGTAATCCGTATATCATCCAAAGAGTTCATAGCAGCCATGGCTACGAATTGTTACTTGAGACCCTCTTTGGTCGTATTTGACCCCGACGTAAGTAGAATATTACCCACAACGACTAGCTAGTTTTTCGCACGGAGCTTAGAAGTAGTTTGCTTTGCGAATGATCTCGTTATCCTACATTCGGTTAGTGAGACGTGCAGTTGAAATCCAAGTGGATTGGGCTGAGAAACAAGCTGTCGCTGCATGCGTGAAATAAAACTGTGGAATTACTATTCAAAGAAGAAAACAAAAATTTAACAAATTTATTACATCTTCCTTTGGTGGAAATACCATAGTATCCTCCAACTCGTTCAAATATGTGGAAGTAGTTCTTGATAAAGGCTAAATGGAACACAATGAAAGCAGAGTAGTAAAACATTGTTTTGCACCAAAATGAGTTTCTTGTGGTAACCCGGATTACTGAGTGTATCAGGCACTATGAGAACTACGTCAACAAAGACACTGGAAGACACCTTCGGCATGAATTTTCAAGCGACGTCTGAAGCGACGCTAAAAGATAGCCCCCTTAAAGTTCCTCCTAACTGCGGAGAAGACACGCATCACCCATTCTATAGCCCAGACCTGGCCCCGAGTGATTATTACCTGTTTCCAAAAATGAAAAAAAAAACAGCTGAAGGGTATAGAAAGTTATAACAGAGCTCAGACCAAACGTAGAAACATAAGTTAATCCTAAAGATTATTCGAGCTGACAGACGAGTGTCTCGAGTTTAAATGAAACTACCTTGACAAATCCCTTGAGTGCTATGATTTCGTCACTTTCTTACTACCAAAAACAACATATGTATGTAAATTTTTATAAATTAATGTAACAATTTAGGCTTCTAAAAATCAAGCGATTGGATGAATTTTTATTTATTTATTTTTATTTTTTTCCTCCAACAGATATGACTTTGAGTTATTCAACTATAGTGCGACATCGTATTTCAATTTGGTGCAAGAGAACGGCACCTGAAAAGAACTGAAAACCACACCGAGGATAAAAGCAGCAACAACAGAATCGGCAGTAGGAGCAATAGTTGTAGAGTAACAGCAAAATTAGGCGCTTGACACTGTAGTCGCACTCTCCACAGCAACAACGAAGCACACACATCTATGCACACAAATCTACGTACACGCATACATATACACCGACGGATCACATACATATGAATTGAAACATAAGAAACTTACATAACTATATACACACATATATACATAGATATACATATGTATACATAAATAAACGCTACAAGAAAACCAAAATGGAAATTCTAAGTAGATAAAACTTAAACGAAAATAACGTTAAAGAAAGTATGTTTAAAATCAAAAAAAAAAAAAAAAATAATAATAATAATAATTAGCAGCGAATGAAAGAGTACTGAATTGAAAGTGATAAAGTGATAAACTTTGGTGATTCCGCAAATAATTAATTTTTATTGCTGAATTTATGGTGCTGCCTTGGCCAGAGAGAAAAATATAATTTTTATCTAAAATTGTAGAAATAGCGCTTGCCGCTTTAATAAATTTCCTGAATATTCACAATAGCAAAACCTTTACAGCACCTGCCTTTATAGACTTTTGAAAAGCTTTTAACTAGAGTTGTGAAGAGAATATCAATTTTTAATGCTGATTTACTGACAGACGCAGCAGTTTTCGTATTAGCAGCTAAAGAAGTTATCTCAATAAGTAATGCTCTAAAGTTTTTGAAGCATTAAAGATTTTAAGGCACTAAATTTTTGGTGACATTAAACTTTGTAATGCATTAAAAATCTCACCGCATCAGTTTTGTAAAATTTTGGCATTAAAGCTTAAAGTGCATTGAATATTTTAACGCAATCGAATTTTTAATGCCACAAAATTTTTCCATACATTTATTTTCGAGTTGCGTTAAATATTTTCATTAACATATTTAACATTTTAAAGCACTTCAATTGCAACTTTTAATGTATTTATTATTTGAATATATTAAATTTTAGAAAGCAATAAATACTTTAATGCAATTAAATTTTTTGCGCATTATTTTCAATAAATTACATTTTTAGGTGCATTACAAAATATATATGTGAATTTTTAGTGCTTTAAATGTTTAATATGTATATGAACGCCTTGTTGCATTAATTTTATCAATGCATAAAAATTGTTGACACAATAAATTATTTAACGGACTAAAGTCTTTACCACATCTATATTTATTTCAGTTTAATTTTTAAACCATTTAAATTTTTGAAGGCATTAACTTTTTAATTGTGTTACTTTGAACTTTTTGGTGCATTAATTAATAAATTCATTACAGATTTCGACTAATATAAATTATTGGAAAATCAAACTTAAATTTTTGGAAAATTAAATTAAAATATTTGGAAAACTACATTACTTGTGCTTTAAAATATTAAGGGCATTTTGGGTCTCGCTGCATTAGATTATCTAATGCCTTAATTTTTTTTGGTTTTAAATATTTAACTGCATTAAACAATGTTTGGTGCATTAAACTATTTAACACATTAAGTGGTTTGGTGCATTAAGTTACTTAATGCATTAAAATTTTTGATGCATTAAATTTAGTTAATTCTTTGTTTTGGTGTTCAAATAGATATTGCAATGCATTATGTTTTTAACTCATTAACTTTTTATTGCATGAAATATGGGGGCCTTTAATTTTTTGCAGCATTGTAAATTCCCGTGAAACACATTTCAAAATTCCCAAAAAAATTTGGTGCATTAAAATTTTAATGTATTAAACTTGCGTAATGCATTACCGTTTGAGGTGCATTAAAATTTTGAATGCCTCTTTTTTGCATAAATTTTTTAATTCATTAAGTGTGTAACATCTAGAACTTTTAATGCATTAAAATAAAGTGCATTAATTTTTTAGTGCATTAAATTTTCCAGTGTACTAAATTTTTAAAACATGAAAGATTTTATGCAATAAAGATTTTTTTAAACTTATTTATATAAAATTTGTATATAGTTTTTTCACAACTCTGGCTTAAACCGTTAGTTAAACGAAATTTCCCGCAAATTTTTTGTATGCAGATCGAAGCGGAAAGCGTTAGGCATGCTTTGAGCATTTTGAAAAGACACTGTACAATAATTTAGCAATGTAGTTGTAACATATACATATACGTATGTATAGGAGATAAATAATTATTAATTACGTACGCATAGTAGCATGTAATGGTAGTAGTGGCTAAGCTTAAAATTTTTGCTAAATATTAAAATTAAATAAAAAAAAAATTAAATATAAATTAGTAAAATATTCAATTATTGAGCACTTGTTCGATTTAACGAGCATGACAAAGGTACAGGCATACATACGTACGTATATATTTTAGTGATACGAGCTGAAATTCCCCAAAAAAAATTAAACAATAGAAATGTTGACTAAATAAAAAATATTGCTAAATTTGGAAATCATCAATAAATTGAAAAACATGTTGTATACATACATATGTATTTAGCAGCGCTTTGGCTTATCAAAAAGTGTGATATTGCTGCTCTATATACATATATATGTATATTGAAAATTTCAAAATTTATTTAAGTACACAAAAAATTTATTTAAAGGTTAGAAGCATAATTTACAGTCTCATTTCGATCATTTCACCAAATTTCGTATCCCAAATTTCAATAAAAAATATAGAAAAATCAAAATACCAAAATTCCACAACTAAAAATATAAAAAAAATTATTACAACTTGGAAGACCAAGGCGAAAAGCGAAATAAACATAAAAAAATAACCGTTATAAAAATAAAGCTGGACTTATTTTGTAGGTTTCAACGCATTTTGGTAATTTTATTTAAAATAAATGTGTACATATAAAATACACATATGTTAGAAATAATATCTGTAAATATATTTTTAAAATATTCCAAAATGCGTAGGTATACAAAGAAGAATTGATTAAAAATCGTAAAGTATGTTGTTGAAAATGTTTTTAAAAAACTATGAACGATTCGTACCAAAGCAAAGCAACTGTAGAAACACAAAAATTTAGATAAAAGAAAATAAAACAAAGCAAATTAATTATCCAACGTGAATTGTTGAGAACTAAATTGGTCAATTTTGTTATTCCTATTTGAAAATATAAAAATAAAAAATATAAGGAAAAGGAAATAATAAAGCATCAATAAATAAAATAAAAAATTAATAAAATTTAAATTGTCTTTTTATTACTTTTCTTAAAGGATAAGGCATCCCATCGAACTTCCGTTCCTAAAAATAATAAAAAATTACAACCTTGCCAACCTAATATTCGAATTCAAATTTTCGAACATTGCGAAAATTCAAGTTTGGCGCGCTGTCAACGAAAACTAATCGAATTAATCACATTTAAGTCTTTGCAAAAGTGAAAATTTGGAAGGAGAATGGATAACTTTTTCTTTTTCTTCCAATAATCGACACTTCCCAGCGTGCTGCAGAGCTGGATAAGCATAGAGAATAATTTTATGCATCCTCGAAACGTTTTCCTCGCCCAAAAAGCAGGCAAGGTGGACAAAGACACAGGTGCAGCCTACCAAAGCAACTTACTACGTCTTGCAACTACAGACGAATCGGTATGCACTCGATGAACCGGGATCTATTGCGCTGGGCTAGATCTCAGGCAATCGTTCAAGCTAGCTCACATCACAGGAAACCACATGAAAAAATCAACTGATTCAGATAGTCAGTCGCCAATTAAAACAATAGTCTCACAAAGGATTACTTCAGATATTGTCCCTTGAAGAAGCATGGCAGTGGATAAGATGGCTGCAAAAAGCAACGGCATATCGACTGGTTGTAAGGCAGAGGAGCACCCATCCAGTGCATGAAATAAGAGAGATGCTAAAGATTTTGTGGAAGAAAATTCCCAATGGAGCTGTACGACGGATCGGCGTTAGACGTCCGTACGCGACTACAAAAGACCAATAGTAATATTCAAGGCCTGGCAGCCAGCCAGCGTAAAGTAACCTGCAATCTAAAGATATCACTTATATTACATTAATAAAGCCATTTCATGAGTGATCTCGAACACTCCTCATTTGGAGCCAATACCTCCCGGTGAATGCTGGAATCGGATCACCACTTATCTTTCCTACCTCTAGATATTGTATTGTACTCAACTCCTACTTATCCACATTCGATCGCGATGAAAGCCTTGCAGAGGCGGTTCGTAAAACCAAAGCATTTTTCGGTCTTTGTAAAGCACCTCGTATGACCGCAATACAAAAATTGGTCGAAACAAGAGCTACTGAAACATGTTAGTGATGTGAACAACGTGTTCGTAGCTCAGGAACACCTAAGAATATTGCTGTTGCAGCCCAAAATGTTGAAGAATGTGCAGGTTTATCCATCTCTTTGTCGTTTTTTGTAATAGGGCATTCCACAAATGTCATTACACCGAGTTTTGCATAAAAGGTCTTAAGGTTTGTAGAGTTCAGTTAACACAAGAACTCAACCCGGTCGATCAGCAACAATGTCATGTACTTACTGATTGACCCCTTGAAGTTCACGAATTTTATTCGGAAATTCAACGAAAAAACATCGGAGGCGATCCACCAAGGTGGCAATAAGCAAAACTGTAGTCGGGTTCGGAAAAACGAAGATTTATTGTTGAAAAACCTTTCCTACCGGACGTTTTTAGGCGGGGTCAATGGATCTTACATTTTTGAAAACGAGGCTGGAGCGACAGTTGCGGGGAATGTATTGCGCTATCGAGTGCTGCTTAATGTTTTTTTATGGCCGGAATTAGATGGTAATGATTGACGAGGATGCGTGCCACACAAGCAACGAAACCACCGATCTTTCAAAGGACAAGTTTCCGGACCATGTTATCTCTCGAAGAGGTGATAGCAATCGGTCAACGATATTTTGTCGATTAACATCTTGCGACTTCCTTCATTGGAGTAACGTGAAAGATAAGTTTTACAGCAACAGACCAACGTCAATTCCAGACCTCAAAAATGGACACATACAGCAGCCACTTTGTAATCTGATGATGGATACGATTTTGCAACCGGAGCTGTGGCGGCCAATTGGCTGATATTGTTTTCCATTGGTAATGGCATATCTTCCACATTAAAATAAACATCCGATCTTTTATATGTGCACCATGCATTAAGTCTCTGCATAACAACAATCACCTCTGAAAGCGACTCCTCTGAAAGCCCCCATTCTTTTGATCCGATCCGCTGCGAAACTGAACGATTCTTGGACCTCTCCTCAGATGTTCTCGCCTGCTACCAGACGTGGTTAATGAACCGTTGTTTTAGTAAGAATAAAGTAGTTATAGTTTTCTGAAAGCAGTGTATAGTTTATGCACAGCGTTTTTTAACCTCAAAAGTTATTCGTGCTCGATTCCGCTGGATGCCGTTCGAATCGTTTGAGAGTGGCGCTCGTGAAAGAAATATATACATATTACATATCGTTGGAAAGGTGACAGTCCGAACTGTAAATCAAGCATGAAATTACTTCATTTTGATTTGATTTGCTTAGTGAAAAGACGCATGGAAGATGGACAACGAAAAAGATCATATGCGTCATATTATGTTATACGAATTCCGCAAAGGAAAAACAGTAGGCGCTGCAACTAAAGATATTCGCGAAGTTTATTTGGACCGTGCTCCAGCACTCCGCACAGTAAAGAAATGGTTCGCGAAATTTCGTTCTGGAGATTTTAACCTCGAAGATCAACCTCGCAGTGGACGGCCTTCTGAGCTTGATGACGATGTTCTAAGGACTTTAGTTGCGAATAACTCACGTATTTCGACGGAAGAGGTTGCCAGTGAATTGAACGTCAACAAATCAACTGCGTTTCGTCGTTTAAAAAAGGTTGGGTACACTTTGAAGCTCGATACATGGGTGCCACATCAGTTGAGTGAAAAAAACAAAGTGGACCGTATGTCAACAGCAATTTCTTTGCTTCGACGGATCAAAAACGAACCTTTTTTGGATCGGCTCGTGACTGGTGATGAAAAATGGATCCTGTACAACAATGTTCAACGCAAAAGAACATGGAAACAGGCACACGAAGGGGCGGAACCGATGTCGAAAGGTGGATTGCATCCGATGAAGGTACTGCTGTGCATTTGGTGGGATATCCGAGGCGTGATCTATTTTGAGCTCTTGCCAGCTGGAGAAACGATCACTGCCAACAAGTATTGTCAGCAATTGGTCGAATTGAAGAAAGCAATTGATGAAAAACGTCCGATTTTGGCCAATCGCAAAGGAGTTCTTTTCCATCATGACAACGCCAGGCCACATGTTGCAAAACCGACCCTGGCCAAACTGAAGGAGATGAATTGGGAAATCATGCCGCATCCCCCATATTCACCCGACATTGCACCTTCTGATTATCATTTGTTTCGATCGCTGCAGAACAATTTGAATGGAAAAAAATTTAAAAATGTGGAAGACGTCAAAAACCACCTTGACACCTTTTTCAACGAGAAACCGCGCGATTTCTATGAATCAGGCATCCGTAAATTGGTTGAACGTTGGGAGTGGATTGCCGAACATGATGGCGAATACATAATTGATTAATAAAAGCGCTTTCTTCAAAAAATTTCATTTTTAGTTTGCACTTGAAATCGGGCACGAACTTATGCACTCATCCAATACAACGTGCCCACTGTACGCCAAGAAATGATCTTCGCAAATTTTGAGTCTGGAAAGCTTCGGTTCTACGTATAAAAAATCCAGTCGTGGAGATCTTATTTTTCCTCTTCGTAGAAAAGTCAAATATTTACGATATATCAAGAGAATGTACATATAAGAAAGGCTAATTAAAACGTTAAAAAAATAGCGGTTTTGAGTTATAAATATTGTATTTTTTTTATTTTTAATGCTTTTTATTTAAATACATTCTTGTATTCTATTCTGACCTATTTGCTTCTTTCGTTTCTTAAACTGGTTCTCTTATGTGATTTTGGTTTTATGCTGGAAATTCGTCTATTAAATGTTCTTTGTTCTATTCTTTAAGTTTGAAACGTTTTGCTGAGTGGCAGAAGAAGCAACTTTACGGTTGGCTTTTGTTTGGCCTGCTGCAGACTTGATTTCTCTTTCTGTCGCCATTGTAACAAGTCAAGGCCAAACCAAAATTGGCTAATAGTGTTGCACTCTCTTTTTTTTATTTTTATTTTTAGTTGTTGTTGTTGTTGTTGCTTTTTTGGAGGTTCTGCTTTTGTTGTTGTATGGGGCTTCTGCTTTGTCTCGCTACTTCAATTTGTTGTCATTTTATTTCAATTGTTTGAATTTATACTTCCGGTTTTCTTTGTATATTTTTTGTATTTTTTTGTTTTTTTTTTTTTTACTTTTTCATATAAATTACTTTAATTTATTTTATTAATAACTACACAATTTCATTGTAATATACAATAGTTAAAACTAAGTTTTAGCCAGCATTAAAATTTTGTTTAATTTTAAATTTCTATTTTAATTTCTCGGTTTCTATATTTTTTGTTTTGTTAATTGCCATTTTTGTTTTTATTTTGTTTAATATTCAACTTTCTTTTTTACACTACATTATACAAAAAGAACTTGATAATCGGAAACTGCAAGTATTGTTTTTTGTTTCTTTAGTTTTAGTTTTAGTTTTAGTTTTTTTTTTTAGTTTTGTTTACTTTTATGCTGTATTACAAAATAATAAAAATTTAACTTAATTTACGTACATTTACATATTTATTGATTAGTTGTGATAAACTACGGTTTTTAGTTGGATTTTCTAAATGTAGAAATGTAGATGCAATCATCATCGGCATTGGCATCATCATGATTTCCCTTCATTATACATATTACGTTAATTGCATGTATGTATGTATGGGTTGGTTGTTACGTTGTTCATTTGATTTGTTGGTTGGTTGGTTGGCTGTTAGTGTATTTTTTTTTATGTTTAACTTATATTTGTTATTTTTGTATTTGCTATATTTTTTGGATGTCCATATTAATATGTAATGTTTAATAATGCCTTTGCAAATAATTCTATTAAGAAGCTGTTTTGTTATAATAATGCATTTCTCTATATTTTTTATCTTTTTTTATCTCCGCTATCAATAGTTTCAACGTTTAGAGTTTTTTCTGCTTAAACTATTTTCTTCTTTGTTTTTTTTTTTTTTTTTTAATATTTAAAGTGTATGATTTTCAATGATTAAACCTTAATATTTAATTTTTTATTTATTTCTGTTATTTAAACTTATTTAAATTTTATTATGCGAATTTCTTTTACCAAATAACAGTTTTTCCCGCACGCCCTACGCCATGGACAACACAACACAAGGTCTTACAAATGTACAAATTTCTATGAATAATTCTACTTAATTCTAGGCCGCATATAAACGTTAAGATTGGTTTTGAACCGTTCTACTCGCAGCTGTAACGCTGCTCTACACACGCGCAACTATTTATATTTTTTGGGTATAAAGTGCTTTTGTGTATAATTTGGCAATGGCAAAGCAACATGAATACTGCATTTGAATGCATTTGCATTTGCAAGTTGTGTATAAGTGTTTGCTGCAAACAAACAGTACGTGTATACAATAATCTTAGAGAAATAAGAAATTTTATTTAAAATTTTAACTTACAAGTAGATATTAAGGAAAGTAATAAGAAAAAAAAAATATGTCAAAAACGCAAATTTTCGTTTGCACTCAACTATTTTTGTTTGCATTTTTCCTGCAACATTCATGCTGCTCCGCTGTGCAAACTTTCAAAAATTTGTCCTAATCTTAACCATTTCGGTGTGGTAAAAAAAAAAAAACAAAAAAAAAAAAAAAAAAATATGGGCGCTGAGCGTATCTCCTGCACTGTATGCGTCACTCCGTTCAGCCAATTCGTTTGCTTGCTTCATTAAGCATCACCTAATTCATTACTTCATATCTATGTATATGCAAATTTATACACTTAAATTACAGTTGTTTATCTTTAGTGCAATTGTTGTGTACTGTAATTAGCGAAAATTATATATAAGCACTATGCTTTTGAACGACATAAAGAAAATGTACAAATTTTGCCTGTAATTAACCTAAATTTATAAGGCCATATTTTGTTTTTTTTTTTCTCTCTCTCTCTCTCTATCTCTTCTCTCTTTTTTCTATATACTCGTTTTTATAACGTAACGTCTTCTGCCTAAGTTTGAGTTATATTTACTCAGTTTTTTTGTTTTGTTTTTAATACAAATTATTTACTTAAAGGGACAAAGTTGGGAAGGAGGTTTTTCGAAGCTATAGATCATCTGTTGTTGTTGTTATTTTAAGTTTACTTTAAGAGCTTGCATTGCTAACAAAAAACAGTATATTTTATGTTATTGTATATAAAAAAAAATAAACTAATAAAAAATTGCTTTCATCATCTCTTATTCAATTCTTTTTTCTTTACAAAATTCACTTTCGAATTTTCCACTTCATGTTTCTACATAAGAATTGCAATTTTTGTTTTGCCTTTTGTTAAATAATTAAATAAATCAATAATAAAAAATAGGGAATAATGTCATTAAATGTTATTAACAGAATAAAATTCAAAAAATATTAATAACTCATTAAAGTGGGGGAGGGGGGGTGTTCTTACTAAATATTGCAATAATCCATACACCCAACTAATTACAAAACAAATCGTCGTTAAACCGCCTAATTGCAACTTTCTTTTAATTTCAGTAAAGTTTTTACCTTTTTTTTTTTTGAAGATCTATATGTATGTGTAGCAATGAGTGGAGTGCTTTGCCACATTATGCCAAATAAATTTGGCAAAATTAAAGTCAAATGATAGTAGTTGTTGTATTACAAAAAAAAAAAAACAAAAAAAAAATTATATGCATAAGCTTACAAAAATATCTATGCATGTATATATATAACTACCTTCCACTTTACTCAAGCAATCGAAACGTGTATTTTTATATGTACGTATGCATGTAGGCATTTTGTTTTGCTAGCAGCAGTATGCTATATAGTGTAACAACGAAATTTGATACTTAGAAAATTATAAAATAAAAAGTATTAAATGACTTTATGTATGTATGTATGTATGTAAGTATGTAGTTGATGTAATATCTATTTCATCATGTTCGGAAAGCTCATTATATACAACATTTATGCCATTATTGCTACTCCTTAGCACAGCTGTACAGAGTCGATCACTTAAGATATGCCTTATATAACATTTGGCTTCGGCATGTTTCGCGCTCCTGTTCCATGAAAAAGAGCATATCGCGCAGATTAACACGTTTAATGCGTGGCCGTAATGGCGCTGCCGGCACACTGGTGCTACCTAATGCGCCGCTGTTGTTGGAGTTCTACAAATAAATGTAAATTATATATATATATGTATTATTTTTGGTCAATAATTAATATATATATATATAGGCTTGTTTGTTTGTTACTAACCCCTCCAGCGCCAGATGCATCACCGTCAAGTTTAATTTTTTTACGTGGACCTATGGCCTGTAACGCAGTCATATTGGCGTCTCTTTGTCGCAGTTCTTCCATTTCGGCACGCTGCATTTCTTTCGCCTGTTAGCGAGAGCATAGAAATTTAATGTTTTTTTGTGTTTTTCAATCAACATTACAATTGTGAGCAACTTACTCTTGCTTTCATTTTCGCCTGCTCGGGATCTTCGATTTTCGATCGTGATTTGGCCGCACGCAGCAACATTTCGCGTTCCAACTCCTCGTGACGCTTTTGTTCGGCTTTGTCCAATTCCTCGAGGAATTTTATCTGGCCACGCACATCTTTTGTGACTTCGTAACGTGGGTCAACCTGAAGCAAGCAGAATTTTATGTAATTAATTAAGAGTTCAATGTTTGAAGTTCAAAGCGGCAAAGGAGTATACTATTTTGAAACGAATTTCGGTTTGAAAAATTCGAGTGCTCGTAATTACAACAGCATCGACATCAGTCAGAAATTCGCTCCAAAAGGCTATGTATAAATACCCTAGCGGAAAACTCTTGGACAACGATAAAACACTTTTATACCTTAATCACATCGATTCGATGCTCTGCTATCACAGCCAATTTCTCGACGATATTTTTCAGTCGCTCTTGGCACGCATGCGAAATCAATACCGCCACATCTTGAGATGGTTCCTCCAGACCACGTTCCATAACCATCGCCCGTATGCGCGCTTGTAGCGCCGGCAAATGCAGAAATACCTCATCTTTGCACGAACGTATCTGTGTGCCGATATTTTCAGTGCAGCCAAGTATGCGTTGCGACTCTTCGGCCAAATTGACACCACCCATAGCAGCGACATCGTTGATATCATCATCACCATACACAGACGATGACATCGATATGGAGGGCTGTTGATAGAATGAAGACATTGCCGCTGTTGCAGCAGCACCCGACGCATTCGCTTTCTCTTCTCTCTCCTTATCCAATTGCTCTTTCTTCTTTTTATTCGACGCTTTACTAGCGGATGCCGCACCAGATTTTGTTGTCGATTTGTTCGCCGTCGGTGTAACGGGTGCAATTTTCTCCTGTTTAATGGCGCCGATTTCCAATTTAGGATCAATAATTCTTAAGCTCTCTCCTATGCCAGCAATAGAGGGATGACTACTCAAATGGCTACTGCTGTGGTGCATCAAACTGGGAGGCAGTTGTACGGTGGGTAGTGATGGTGTGGGCAACGATGTCCCACTGCCGGCATTTGAATATGTAGCCACCGAATTGATGGTGGACAATATAGTTGATACTGCAGATAGGGATGGTGTCGACGAGGGTGCTAGGCTATTGGATATAGCTGTGAGTGAGGGCGGTTGATTCGTGGCGATAAGTGAGGGTACGGGTGAAGGGATCGCTTTTATTTGCGTTTGACCAACTTTGACATGCGTTATACCCGATGCCGTATTCTTACCCTTGGCAGTGCGTATTTGCACTGTCGTGGGTCGGCTTATTTGCGTTACGGTTGGCGCCCGTATATGCAAAATACTCTGTGGTGAAGTGTAAATATTTAGCAAAAATAGATAATAATGAATGTATGTTGCACGAGCTAACGGTGACTTACCGCTTGCGTCGGCGCTGTGGGCAGTTGAGCGTTTACAGTTTGCTGTATGGATGCTGGAATGGGACCACGAATTTGGGCATTAACAAGTCGTGGTCCATTGGTGGGACCCTGTATGCGTATGCCCGCGGGTTGCTTAGTGATGGTCGTGTGGCCAATGGGACGTGGGCCGCCTGGACCTGAAGGAGAAATCATTCTAACCTGCGTTTGTCCAATGGTTGTCGTTTGATTTTGACTTATTGGACGTATTTGCGCTTGTATTTTCTGCGGGAAAAGAAATTTTTGTTTCAAAATTGCAAGAAAATTTACGAAAAATTTTAAAATTTTTTTTAATCAACTCACTGGAAACTGCTGCAATGTTGTTAAACCGGCTACATTATGTGGTGGCGGCTTAATACCCTCTATAACAAGCTCACGGGTAAAAAGCGCTTGACGTAGTAGTGGTAAACTTTTCTGTAAAATTTAATTGGAAATGAATTTTTTTAATAAAAAAAAATTTGCCAAAAACCAACTCTGTACAGCAACTATGCACGAACCTTCAGAAAACCGATGAGACAAGGTTGTGGACTGGCATTCAGTAGGCGTTCGAGCCGATCGCAAAACTCCTCCGGCTCCACATTCGCATTAACCAACTCCTGTATAAGATTACGTACATTTTTCTCCACCGGTTTGGGCTCACGCGTAGCCAAATCAATCAAGTTAGCTAGAAATTTGCGACACTTCTCTTTGGTATTGCCTTGTGCAGCGCTTTGCTGTGTTGTCACTGTCGTGGGTGTCCCCGTCGTCGTGCCCGCACTAGCCGTGGATACCGCACTGTGATTATTACTCATCGTCGTTGTGTTCGATGAGCCCGTAGAGGCGGCTGCACCGGCTGAATGTTGTGCTGGAATTGTTTGAATTTGCGTTATTTGCGGTTGGGATAGTAAATGTTGCGTCTGCTGGTGTAATTGTTGGTTATGCGTTTGCAGATGTGTTTGCTGCTGCTGCTGTTGTTGTTGCTGATGCTGCAGCTGAGCTTGATGATGCTGTGGCTGTTGCAATGTTATATTCGCCTGCGACGTATAGGTGTGATGCGGGCCAGCAGTACTCGATGCAACTGAATTCACAACAATATTATTGGATGTAGACGAGGACACGGCCATCGACTGCAGGCGTTTGGCAAAACGAAAATGATAGTAATTACATACATAAATTGTTTACATTAAACCAAAAGATATGTCAATTTATGGTGAAAAAAGCAACATATACGATTATGAATAAATAAAATGTTACAATTAATGAATGAAATCAGTAAGAAAAAACTGCAAAACCAACAAACAAAATTTACGGATACGCAAATAATTACTTTAAAATTTTCCTTTGTATTTTACGACTTGTATTTCAAAGCCACTTAAGTTATGATTTCTAAGTTAATTTTATAATAATTATACAGCAAGCATATAAGATACACAATTGGTGTACAACAGCAAAATAAACGCAAATTAAAGGCAAAATATTTAAATAGATAAAAAATCAAAATTCAATTAATTACAAAAAAAACAACAAAATGAAGAAAATTTTACTATTAAATACAATAAATATAATTGCATAAGTTAAAGTGCCGCAGTTTTCCAAGGCATTGGCAGGAAGAAACAGTAAATTAACAAAATGTAACTAAAATATGTTGGAAGATAAAAAATATTTTTATTTATGTGAATTTGAAAAGTCAACTAATGCCTAAATTTAGATAAATTATTGAAAAAAAAAAAAACTCAACGTAACGACAATTTTGCAGTTAAACCTCAAAAAAAATGTTAACTAAGAAATAATTACGTCTCGCTATTGACGCAAAGGATAACTTGATAAGTTAAATTTTCGGCGCATTCGATGCTGTGTCCAGCTAAATTAAAATTTCTGGGGTTTTAAGTTTTGTTAGCAGAAAAAAAAGTAAATATAATATATTTAAACAAAACTATTAAACGTCAAATTTTAGTCTAGAATATCCAATTCGACTCAATGTTCTATATATATAAGGTGACAGTAATTGAATTGGAATTTTATTATGCACCAAATTTGACGAAAAATCTCGCTTCAGCATTTATTAAGCGCCAATTATATAAACAAAGGGTTTTCCAACAAGTTTGAAATTGAAATTTTTCAACATTTGAAAAGTAAGAACTCTGACAGTAATGAATATTGAACTATACACGCTTCAGCAACGCAGTGAATTTATTAAAATTAACTATAAAAATTTCATCGAAAAATCATCTTGCCTATTGAGACTACATCAATAGCAAAACTGTCCCATCTGGGGCTCGTTTAACCGAAGATTTATTGATGAAAAACCTTACGATCCCAACTGTTCGATGTGATTTATGGTCCGGCGAGGACCTTACTTCTCGAAAATGTATGGATTGCGCATCGAGAGATGATTAATGATTTTTAATGGCCGGAATGCGTGCCACACAAGCAGGGAAGCCATCGATTGTTTTAAGGAAAAAGGTGCCTTTGAATATCAAAATAAAACTCTTAATCAAAATCCCTTTAACTGGATTCAAATATTTAAATGTACGCTCAAAACTTATTTAGTTATCCTTTGTGCATAAACTAAAGTAAAATGCAGCAACGATTCACAGTACATTTGCGCTCATGCGTATACAAAAGTATTTAAAAGAAATTCTATTATGCTGAATTTGTATATAAAAAACTAAAATTTGATACTAAAACATTGAGATTGTATTTTTCTAACAGTCAAGTTACACCGAAGCCAACATTTCGTTGGATTCTGTAAGTCCTTTTAAAGCTAAATCCATTAAATGTCAAAAATTAAACATTCCTAAGCTATCTAACTAACAACGCAAATGTTAAATAACAAAATATGAATCTAATAAAGGAAGGAAATCGAGAAATGTTTAAATAGAAGAATATTCAATCGCAATGAAGAGCAAATGATAGGAGTATATAGAGTGAACGCACGTACATATGCCGACACTGGCTTGGCAATGTTTCATGCTACCAAAAGAATTTTGCAACTAAAAATATACCGACATAAAAAAAAAAAAAAAAAAATCAGAAACCTATAGATTGCGATTGAAAAAGACTAAACTGGAAATTTCTTTAAAATTACATTTTGTTTAATCTGTTTCGTCGCTGTTGCCTGTTGTTGTTGGTGCTGTTTTACTTGCTGCTGTTGTTGATGATGCTGTTGCTGTTGTTGTTGTTGGTGGTGGTGGTGGGTGGTAGTAGTGGTAGTTGTGGAGGTGGATGATCTTACAATCGTTTTACGTAGTGCTATATTAGGCCCTGTAAATCTACTTACAGCAGCTGGTACAGTTTGTAAACGTATTTGTGCCGGATTTGTGGAATTGGTGCCAACGCCGCTACCGCCAATTGTTGGTGTCACCGGACCCGATGTGGCTGTGCCAACACGTAATAATTGATAGCCATTTTCTGTTTTCAATATGAGTGCAGGCGTTTGTCCAGGTGCTAGTGTACTGAGTGTTATCTACAAAATGCGTTAAATATATGCCATAAAGAGAGGACATACATATGTATTTATTAGTAGGACGTTAAATAATATTTTAATAAATTATTGTAGAATTATTTAGATACGATAAAATAAAAATAAAAAACAATTAAATTATTTGTAAAATGCCGTATACAATCAACTCACCGCCGGATTTTGTGGTCTGGCACCAACCATATGCGGACCACCAATAACCACTCGTCCCAATGTATTGCCTTGCACAGTTTTCTGCTGCTGCTGCGCATTTGGTGGGCGCATGCCCACTACAACACTCGCCGGTATCATGGAATTTAGCAAAGGTTGCTGATTACCCTGTTGAAGTGGACAAAAGTTGCAGTTAGTAAAAATGATACAAATTAAAATTTCTAAAAGCGTTTTTCTTTATTGTAATATCGTCAAGCAAGAAACCACTACAGCATGCAACAGTTAGGCGTTTTGCCAGAGAGTTTTTTTTAAAGAAATTTTGAGATTTTTGGTATAGTTTCAGTCCAAAGTGCACAGAAAAATATTTTGAATTTAAATGAAAATAATATATTTATGTAGAACCAAATTTAAAAAATGAAGCTTCCAAAAAATACAATTTTTCTCAGTTTCACGGTAATAAATTGGGAAATAATGTTTTTCTAAAAAAAAAATGTATATGATATTCGAAGAAATTATTTAATACTTATATATATTGCCCAGAAGAGCTGTATAGCATAGTTAAACAGTTTCACCAAAAAGCAAGTTACTTTAAAAATATTTTAAAGTTTAAGTAAGTAAAAGCGTTTAGGTTGATTTAGTAAGAGAGAGACCTTAAAAAATATATTTTCTTAAAAGTAATGCAACTAAAGAATATATTTAAATACCGCTGTTTGATATATATGCACATATACATACAAGTATTTTATAGGCGTTTAGAAGTAAAAAAAAAAAAAGCAGTTTTAATTTTGAAAGTGTTTGACGTTACAGGGACTAATTTAACAAATTTCTTCGAAATAAGTTTTTTTTTGTTCTGTAGTTTTTCATTTTTTTTTTAGTTTCGCTAAATAATAGAGATACAGCTTTTAAATCAATAATATTCAACTAAAAACAATAAACGACCGTAAAACACCGTATAATCATGCTATTTGGTTAAAAACAAAAAACAAAAAAAAAATCGTGAAACTGATTTTACACACTACGTTGTAAATATTGAGTTCCAAGCAAACAAAGAGTGAATATCTACAATACGATTCTTTTTTTTTCGAAAACAAAAAAAAATTTTTTAATGCTCCACAAGCACCACACCGAACACTACTTAAAGGCAGCCCTAATGGCTATATTCAACAAACGCAGTGCTTCTCCTCGGTGCACGAAATGGGCGCCTCTTATGGGTCGCCGTACCTGATTAATTGTTTTGGTCATTGTTACTATTCCTGGTGCACTTGAGACCAGACCCGCTGGCAATGATACCGCATTATTTGATTTTATAACTAAGGTTTGCGTCTGTGTTGCACCTACTGATTGGTTAGCTGCATTATGGTGTTGTGACGGTTGACCCGTCACCCCTGTTGGTCCGCTAGTTTGCAACACTTGATGTACCTGTACCTGTTGCGGTAGTGTATGATGTTGTTGTCCTCCAGCCCCACTTGATGTTATTGTCTTAATTGTAGTGGTATTCGGTAATTGTGAAGTGGATATGATTGTTGAACCAGATGAATGGCCAGCCGGACCACCGATATTTATTGTGCCGTTAGGAAGCGTTTGACTGGTAAATGTTATACGATTGCCCGGCGTTTGTGTTGGTTGGCTGGAATTCATGGCGAAATTTGCGTACGACGATGTCGTTGACGACAACGACGTTGACGCCAAGGACGTTGTTGGTGGTCGTATGTTGAGTATTTTTGTTGGTATCTTATTCGGTGGCTTATCTATCCACTGCTGATTATGCTGATTAAGCGGTTTTGCAACAATATCCACACTCGACGCTATTGCCTGTGTATTTTGTTCTTGTTTATTTTGATTTTGAAATTGATATGCCAATTTTATATTTGTGTCCACATTGTAGTGGTAGGCGCTTTCTAAATTCTTCGGTGCAGCAATGTATCTGTGCTTAGCGGAATACGTTGTATCTCTCAAATTATTGTTGTTTACTGAAAACAAAGAAATCAAAATTATTATAATGATAAATACAAATATTATCACACAACGTTTAAGTGGGAGCATATTTTTCGTTCATTCGCTATGAAGAAACGACTGCATAATAAATCTTACTGTATGCCTTCCATTGTGTATACTTAACAAATCCCATACCACCCCGCCCGAAAAGATCTAAACACTACCATTAATTAAAGAGGCGAATGGAGGGTAAAAGCGAACATGACTTCTATAATTATATGTACATGTGTGCTACCTTCAGCTGAAGCGGTGATGTTATCACCTCCAAAGTGTGTTTTCAGATCACTAGGTTTGTTGTCACCCCTACTGATGGCACCACCTTTGTTATTAACAATAACTGTTTTAGTGGAAATCACGTCCTCAATGTCAACAAAGGCTTCACTACCATCTTCTCCAAAGCCTGAGCCTGTTGTTGCTGACCTTCTGTCACTGCCGCTTTTATTCCGAATTTTATCAACATATTCCTCCTCTTTCTTTGTATATTCGTCATTTCTTAAGGCAAAGTTTTCCACGTAATTTCCATTTCCAATTCTGTGGTATGGTGAATCTGCAAACTCAATATTTTTTCTATAATCGCCTACAATTTTATCGACTCTAGAAGAATTTGCTTTATTTTGATTTTGGTGTACAAGAAATTTGGCAGAAGACGCCGCCATTTTCTCGAAAAACGATTAAAAGAAAGAACGGCGAAATTTCATATCGTAATAGATTGGATTAAAGAAGAGATAAGCGATGCAAATGTCATTTGGATCAGAATGTTGCCACTATATAAAAAACGTTACGAAAAAACGTGCAATATTGAATTTACAAAAAATTAAATTAACATTAATTTCCTAATGCTAAAGCATTTTGCTTGGCTTGAACTTGCAAATATATAATTAATAATACTCAAGGATGTATAAAAATATATTAGGGACATCAAAACTAACTTAGTCTCTGCCATTGATAATAACTGTTTATTTGCGGAAGCGTCGCGTGCTCAAGAAAGCCTGGAACAATATTTTAAAAGGTCAATCGTTTAATTTTTATATTCTTATAAGTAGCATAAGTGTTTCCCACATAGGTTAGATGGATAGAACATGAAATTGTTTGCTTCTCATTTATTTTAATTTGTTCCCTTACCATTCGAATTACACAAATTCCATTATGTTTTAAAAATGCCGATGGTAGTTGAACTATTTTGTTGGCAGCTCTCATAAACTGTCACTAAATTTCCAACAAAGGACAACTCAAGGCATACAAGCCAATAAAGCAAAGTTCAAAGTAGGGGAAGCAATAATAGCTACTGGCTGGCTGACTTTTGCTGAACGTAGTCGGAGATTTCGTTTTCGTTAACGCGTTACATACATTCGCTCGTGAAACAAACGGAGCGCCACACAATTGATTTTGCGTACAGAGTACGGCTGAGAATTTTGATCGCTGAAACCGACGGGATGTATGAAATCGCGTTGCAATTTGCTCAAAATATTTCCTTTTTGTATACACTTATATATTATTATGTCATATAAAATATTTGAATGCTGCAATTTATTTTTAAATTAGATATTTATTTGTATTCTGTATATGGAGAAATTTCTTTTCGTTACAACGCGACGGCAATACGACTTGAACGAAACGAAGACGGGTAAAGGGGGGAAATTTCACTCTGTGACACTTCTTTTCTCGTATTTCGCCAAAAAACACACCGTGTGGAATAGCACAGCTTTCAAATGCACTTTTCAGCTTTCTCACAGTCAGTGAATAGTTGCATTCACTTTCCACTAAATATATAAACACTATTTAACACGTTTTGCGTAATTTTAAGGAAATTTGATTAGGATTTCCGCGTGAATTTCGATAAAATTTGTTTACGCTCGACTCCGTCGCAGCCCGCACTCACTTTGCAAACGGCGAAAATTTATTTTGTAATAGATTAGCTGAGCGAAGAATTGAAGCAGAATTTTCACAAAGTGTTGCCACCCTTTAAATTTACGTCTCATTCCGAGTTAGCGAAATCTCTCAGCGAAAAAAACGTAACAAAACAGTGTTGGGCTTTTGTGTTGATTGAAGAGAATAAATTTCAATGAAATTTGTTCACATGCTCAGATTTTAAATTTTGTCTAATTATATAACACATGGCCTATGAATATATGAGACTCATGTTAGTAGAGCGACGTTTTGAGTACTGTGTGCAATCAAAAATTCTGTTGCTTTGACAAAAAAATAAAAACAAACAACTCAAACAAGTTTTCAGGCAGTAAATGTTAATTGTTTTATTCAAACTTAAGAAATTAATTTGTTTTATTTTTGAAGAAATTATAAAATTCCTTTTGAGTTATTTTCACTGCAAGTGCATAAGTTATTAATGGCAACCATAGGGATGACAAATAAAGTTGCTCGATAAATGTTAAATAGCAACGTCGCAAATTTAACAATAATAATTAAATTGCATTATACGAAGTTTTGCCCGGATCAAGAAAAAAAGCGAGAAAACGAGTAAACACTCTTAATAAAACAAAATGTTTTCCAAAGCTTTTGAAGAAGATAGCGATGGCAAAAAATTGTTTTTCGATACATAATTAATTGAGTTTTAAGATTTATGTAAATTCATTTAGTAATTATTTAGACAAAACTGGTTTGTTTCAATATTCAATTGAAATTAAGATTTTTATATTAATTTTTCGTAATGAACCTTACCAAGAAAATCAAATTTTATTTGTGTAAGATACCGTAATAAGAAAATCAAAATGAAAAGAAATTGAAAAAAAAAATCAAACGCAACGAATATGTCAAATCCAGGCAAGAAAATTTGAAAATACTTGCCTCTACTGAGATATCTGCAACATACACCCTCCTTCCCACCTCCCTCGTCAATGAAAGAACAGATTTGAAAGCAATACTTGACGCGTGCGAAAGCAAAGAGAACTAGATACGAAACTCTTTATTTCGTGAGAGCGCTCAAAAATCCGCATTTTTTATAACATTTCTGTACAGTGCCAGTTTGATAGAAAAATTACTTTTTTTTTGGATTTGTAGGTATATTTTGGGTATTTATTTACAAACAACGAAGTCTTTGATTAAAACTTCACTAAAATATTTCATTGCGAACCAATCAAACATTTAATTATAAATATTAAATTTTAATGATAAAATTATAGTAATTTCTTTAGTATTTACAGCTTTTGAAACAAAAACGATGTATTTTTTTTTATTGACATAGTGGTATTGGTGAATTTTATTGAATGTTCTCCAATCTGACACTGCTGCCAACATAATAATGCGAAATAGTCGCACGCTCTCAGCTGCAACTTGAGTGATTTTGAGCAAGTTTCGTAACTAGTCATCTCTGGTGAAAGGAGACTAAACATGGACAATACGTTGACAGTTGTTAACTCTGTTCCAATACTGTCAAAATATCGAAAAAAAATTTCATTGTGCATCGGCTTGTAACTCCCACCTCATTTGATCTGTCAAAATTGAATTGTCATGCTTTTACATTTAAAATGTGTAACAGTAGACTGTTCGTCATTACAGAAGTTAACAAAAATTTGTATGAAATATTATGCTGGCTTCTAGTCTTTGCCTTTCTAATTTGGGGAGAATTAAAAAGGTAAAAATGAAATAAGAGTAACGCATTAGAATGCAATTTTCAATTTATTGAAATAGTTGCACCGCCTGACGACAGCAAATAACAGAACTGTTTGCCAACAACAGTAAGTAGCCATACTGCAATTAGCGCAATCTGTGTAATCGATAATTTTTTAACAGCTCTGCTGATACCGATTTCATTCAGCCAAAATTCCAGTTCACAAATAATTGAAAAAATCATATTTCGTTTATTTATTTAGTTTATAACATACTAAATCACAATATGTTACAATCACATTTATAATAATGCTTTGAAATATTTACAAAAATATACGAGTGTGTATATATGTACATGTATAAATACATTTTAAGTGATACAAATTGATACATGCAATGTACACGTATGTATGTACGTGCATATATGCATATGTTTAACGAAAGAGCTTAAAATTAATAGCAATAATACGTAAAAAGTATAAATTAAGGTGAGATAAAATTAAACTAAACATATGTATAATATTATAAAAAACAATAAACTGTACTTTTGTTAACAAAGTATCGTTATTATCATTATTATTGTTAATAAACTTTAGCTGATCTCTAGAAAAACTACTTATTTTAGCGGCGCAACTTCCGCTACCGGCTTTCGACGTTGTATAACGTAATATATCAGACATATAGCCGCCACGCCGATACCGCCGCATATCGACGCCCAATGAATTATATTCAATGTTTTGAGTGAATTGATGAGTTTCTTTTTGAAGAATGCCACCATTTCACTATTAAGTTGTATACCCTAAAAGTAAAAGAGAAAAAAAGTGGGTAAAGCAGTTAAGATCGAAAAAATGACAAAACATTTTTATATCGTACCTCCTCAACCCAAATGGCCGGCATCAGCACTGTTGTTAGATTTTCGGTTATTGCGATACGATTAATGCTTTTTAAGAACATGTTGAATTGCACGCGTTTTCCACCTTGCAGTGGTGTACCAGTGAGCTAAATATAAAAAAAAAAACAAGAGTACATATATATATTAATTTAATTACAAATTACATTTCATATATTTTCTCAAATTTCTATTATTTATTTTTTAACTTAATACATTTATTTTAATTTAATTTAATTTTATGTAACTTCGGCTCATTTTAATTTTCTTGCTCTATTTAATTTGATTTTTTTATTTTTTATTCCTATTTTCTTCTGTTTTTGTTTTCGTTTGTTTGCTTTTTGTTTTATCTTTTTCTTGACCTTACTTACATGTTGTACATCCACAAAGGTCTGATGCTTTTTCGCATCCGGTCTGAGTCCTCGTATCATTTTTGTGTATTCATTGGAGGCGCCCAACATATGTGGCAATGTTAATATGACCGGTGCATCTGTAAATAATGAAGAGGGGAAATATATTAAAAATTATTTTACAGTTTCACACTGCGCTTATTACTAAGTATATTTATGGCTCATAAATTATTTACATATTGGCTAAAAAGAGGAAAAAGTATAAAACAATGGGGCAGGACTAAAATTTAAAATGCAATACTCAAATTTACGTACTTATTCATATATACATATATACTCATTTTATTTATACAACGAGTTGTCTGTTGTAATAATCGCGATTTCAATATTAATATCTTTAAAATGACTTTTTTCGGCATAAATGAGAAAGATACCAGTACAAAATATTTTACATTTTATTATTAAATAAAAATTATTTATTAAGTTTTGAATGGAAAACTACTTGCAGTTTTATTGAACATTTCTGAGATATACATATGAACATTTTAAATTTTGAAATAATTGTCTTACTAAAGGCTCTTAAGAACTGCAAAAGTTTTTTTTTTTAATTTTAATGGGTTTTATACCCTTCGAAAATAAATTAATATTTAATCAAACTTATATCTGTTTGTTCACCAAAATGCTTAAACAAAAAAAATGAGGGCAATCTGGGTATTAAAGAGTTCGTTTTTAACAGTTTATCTACTCGGAATAACACTCTATACGTGTAAAGTCATACAAATTAAAATAAAACATAATAAAATTAAACAAAATAAATTAAAATAAAATGATATTAAATAAATAATAATAACAAAAATAAAAGAAAAAATGAAATGAAACCATATAGAATGAATTAAAATAAAATAGAATAAAAAAAACGAAATAAATTAAAACAAAATAAAATACAAAAAAAAATAAGTAAAATAAATAAAACGCAATAAAATAAAATAAAATAAAATAAAATAAAATAAAATACAATAAAATAAAATAAATTAAAATAAAATAAAATAAAATAAAGTTAAATAAAAGGAAATAAAATATAAGTAAAATTTAAAAGTAAAATAAAATGTAAAATAAAATGGTCTCTTCCTATCCTGAACTAAAATTTTCTAGTAAAAGCAAAAAGGTTAAACACTTTCGATTTCAAAACTTTATAGTATGATACTCACATTATATAGTGTTATTGTGTTAGTTCTTTAGAATGAATAAAAATTTTTATTAAGTAGTAATTAATTAACACTATAACAAAAATATTTTTACTACTTTTACTTGGAATTTTAGACGAATTAATTAAATATTTGGAAAATTTGTTTAAGCATATTTTTTTTTTTGCCTAATTTTTTTTTAATTCTCTGTTTTATATGCTAATTCTTCAAAATAAAATGCGAATATGCTGACTACATAAATAAAATGAAGTAAAAAGTACGCAAAACACACACATGCTTGAAGTTATTTATTGCTTGCATTCATATATGTATGTATAATATGTATGTACATATGTTACGTTGGCCGCGGCGTTGAGCTGTGATTGATGGATTGATTAATATACCCGTTATTGTGTGTTAGATAGACACTGTATATAAAGATATGTTGTTCAGTCAATCATCATAGCTAATTTGTGTATGTGTGCGTTTATGCTTTGTAGATAATTATAGCTATTATCAAGGTAGTGATAATGATCGCGTTAAAATTGTATGTTTTTTTATATTTTTTTTTTAGCATTTTTTCTTTGTTTCTGTTGCGAGAATTTACTATTTTAAAAGACAAATATTTTTTGCAAATGTATTAAGAAATAAAATATAATAAATTGAAACAATAAGAATATTTGCAATCTAAATTGAAAAAAAAAAATAAAAGGTTTTTTTTTAACTTTTTTTTTTTTTTTTTTTTTAGTATTATGTTATAATAAAAACCGGCGTTAACAACTGATGATTTCAGCAAATCTTCAATCTTTTGTCTTTTATTTAACATCTGCACTTATGATACTTTTAAACTATTTAAAAAATACGTTTGCAAAAATTTTGTTTTGTATTTGTTCTTGCTAACATCGTTCTATTTTTGTCCACTTTTGCAAAAACTATAATTTTTGCGAATTTATTCTATTCTATATATTATCTTCTCCTTTCTACTATTAGTAAATACTCGTATCGTGTGTTGTATAACAGTTCATACATATTCATAATTTTCGAAATTAATTTCAACGCGTGTCAAATGAGTAAAACAAGCGCTAACAAGATGAAAAAAAAAAATATTCTTTACGCTCCGATAATATATGCAGATTTTTTATTTCAGTCCAGCGCAAAATCTGTATGCCTGTGTGTATGAGTTTGAGGAGAAAAACTTGTTGGAACATAGCGACGTAAAGATGCCAATAATCTCTGAGTGTAAAGGAATAGATAAAAGTTTATTAATAGCAATAAAAATAAAATTATATAAACCAAACTGTGCGAATAGGGATAACAATGAAAGAGGAAAGTGGAAAAGTTAAAATATTAATGAAAATGTTAGCCTGGGCTCTAGGGTCTAAGCTGTCTTCAACTTATGTATGTGATTCTAGATGGTGATTAATAATAGAGTATAATTCTTAGTATGGATCCGCGGAGCTAATTCAGAGTATGCAACTTAAGACCATCTTTCGAACATAGATTCCAAAGTGCTGTGTAATTTTCTAAATCCAAGAAGATATTTTGAAAAATAAATAATTCTAAAAAGTTTTAAGAAAGTACTTTATATATTGGATGAGTGCATAAGTTCGTGCCCGATTTCAAGTCCAAAATAAAAATGAAATTTTTTGAAGAAAGCGCTTTTATTAATCAATTATGTATTCGCCATCATGTTCGGCAATCCACTCCCAACGTACAACCAATTTACGGATGCCTGATTCATAGAAATCGCGCGGTTTCTCGTTGAAAAAGGTGTCAAGGTGGTTTTTGACGTCTTCCACATTTTTAAATTTTTTTTATTCAAATTGTTCTGCAGCGATCGAAACAAATGATAATTAGAAGGTTCAATGGCGGCTGAGTATGAGGGATGCGGCATGATTTCCCAATTCATCTCCTTCAGTTTGGCCAGGGTCGGTTTTGCAACATGTGGCCTGGCGTTGTCATGATGGAAAAGAACTTCTTTGCGATTGGCCAAAATTGGACTTTTTTCATCAATTGCTTTCTTCAATTCGACCAATTGCTGACAATACTTGTTGGCAGTGATCGTTTCTCCAGCTGGCAAGAGCTCAAAATAGATCACGCCTCGGATATCCCACCAAATGCACAGCAGTACCTTCATCCAGTGCAGTGCCTGTTTCCATGTTCTTTTGCGTTGAACATTCACTGGCAACCTCTTCCGTCGAAATGCGTGAGTTATCCGCAACTAAAGTCCTTAGAACATCGTCATCAAGCTCAGAAGGCCGTCCACTGCGAGGTTGACCTTCGAGGTTAAAATCTCCAGGACGAAATTTCGCGAACCATTTCTTTACTGTGCGGAGTGCTGGAACACGGTCCAAATAAACTTCGCGAATATCTTTAGTTGCAGCGCCTACTGTTTTTCCTTTGCGGAATTCGTATAACATAATATGACGCATATGATCTTTTCGTTGTCCATCTTCCATGCGTCTTTTCACTAGGCAACTCAAATCAAAATAAAGTTATTTTATACTTGATTTGGACTGTCACCTTTCCAACGATATATAATATGTATATAATTCTTTCACGAGCGCCACTCTCAAACGATTCGAACGGCATCCAGCGGAATCGGACACGAACTTATGCACTCATCAATATTATTTTGATGCTCATTGGAGTACACCATTCACAGTAATAGTATTCACGCTTTAATATTTATATATTACTAAGCTACGTTCCAAGAAGCGGTAACGAGTCTCCAGCTCCAATGAAGACCATGACTTGAGCGCATGCACATAAAATGTTTGTCTTCTACATACACGTAGGAAGGTGCCGCTGCATAGTTGGGTGATGTCCTCATAAAAAATAATATCGGAAATTTTATGGGCCCAACCAAGATGGAAGTATGGATGGATGCTCTGCTGACTTTTATTACAGCGACCGTATAAAGAAGCGCAAGTTTGGTATCTGATTTTTTGTGGGCGAGACACTCAAAAAGCGTGTATACTTCGTATTAAAGCACTGTTTTTCAACGTATCGCTGATTTGTGCCTACGCTCCAACGGAAAAGAAGGACATTGTTACCAAAGTTGCTTACTACCAACGACCGGTGTACGCTGTATATCTATGAACTGAGGCTGATCGACTTCAGTGGGAGCCAAAAAGAAGTTATCTGTAATACAAGATTCCCACACAGAAAAACAATCAAGCTAAAAATTTGGATGTCATCAGATTAAAAGGCTCGACACCAGATGTGGTAGAAAGAAGACACTGTGCGTACTCACCGGGATCTTAAAATTGACTTGAACTATTACAAACATAGGGAAGGTTCGAAGTAGTAAAGCTGCAATTACAAGAGACCGCCAAGCAGATGTGCTCTATGAGAGCACTCACTCAACAACTGGTTATAATGATACCGCGCGATGGCATTTCAAGCTACCTAGATAGCTCACGGCGTATCGCAGTGGACTGCCTATCTCGTAAAGTTACGATCGATTGCTATGGCACGAAAAATATGGGAGATATGGGGATTTAAAGAGTGATGCATTTGCATGCAAAAAAGAGCGAGACAAAAATGTGTTTATGTTCAGAACTTGAGAAGAATTTTACAATCAAATCAGGCGCATTGAACAAGGTTTCAAAGCCGGAGCTTCTTACTATCGAAACGATAGAGGACATCTTGTGCAAAAAGTTAAAAGAATATTAAGTTTATGGAGGGAACAATTTTCCAGCCTGCTTAGCTGAAGAGAAAGCGACGATGGTATAAAGCTTCCATTACACGATTATGATGAAGTTGGAATATCAATTGCCCCTGTAAAGAATACCAAAGCGGCAAGAGCCGATGACTTACCGACATGGGGGGCAAGGAATATTGCCGGAAGCATGTAGACTGGACTAGCTTAAGGGTAAATCTAACTAACTCACCTAACGTAACTTGTGAGTGTCTAGCATTGACACGCTGAGACTCTCTTTACTAGGCAAGGT